GTCTAAAAAGTGACTTTATATAGTCTAAATATATTATATTATATAATTGAAAATAACTCTAATTAAGTATTTAATTAATAGTTTTTAACAAGTGTAGTAGGAATACCCCTTAACTCTACTATAACATTAAGTGTGTGTCTACCTTATATACTACAGGGAGGAAGTCTGATAGTTCAAGACATCCTAAGTACAGTAACACTATATAAGGCAATTAGGGTTTCCTAATATAGAACACAAGGAAAGAGCACAATCTAATACTCCCCTTTAAGTATTAATTGATAACTAAGACTGTATGCCTAATAGTTTAATTAGATACTTGATCTGTAGGATGTAGAGAGCTTTTGTAAGAATGTCTGCTAATTGGTTCTAGGATTAAACATAGTATACATTAATGTAATTGTTTTGAATGTAGTATTGCACAAAGTCTTTTTGTAAATCATAAGTTTAGTGTGAGCATTGTACATTATTTTGTCAGACTTTACAGTCTTTATCACACTTTAGTTATTATAATAAATTGTAATGGGTGCTGATTCAGTCTGTAGTACCTCTTTGACAAATTGTTTAAGCTAAATGGCTTCCTGAGTAGCATATGCTAGTGCTTGCAACTCAGCTTTGTAAATGGATAATGGTACCAAATTTTACTGTTTGCTTGACTAAGATATGGTCAATTTAGCTAATTGAAAGATGTAGCTGTTTATTACTTTATGTCCTTCTGTCATTCATCTGTCTGTATTATAATAGTCTCATAGTTTTAAGGCATTTGTGCTTCCAAGTTGAAGCCAATAATTTGTTGTATATTTCAAATACACAAAGCAATGTTTCACTACTCTGTAGTAATACATTTAAGGCTTTTGTAAGTAGTGTGCTAATTGCTCAGTAATATAGGATATGTCTGACTGTGTGTAATCTGTAACATATCTCAACAATCCTACCATATTCATGTATAGTATTGTTTCAACATTACTTTCGTTTGTATCATACATATTGTTTGTATTATTGGATAGATCTATTTTAGGGGTAATAAGTGTTTGTAGTGCCTTTTTGTTTTCAAAGTGGTAATGTTTGATTATACTCTCAATATAATGCTTTTACTGTAAGCTAATTGTTTGTTGAGGTCTATCTCAGTATATATTAATACCAAGTAACTAATGTATTTTGTTACTGTCAGTAAATGTAATGTATTGTCTTAATACATGTTTGAATACTGTTATTATAGTAATAGTTTTGCTAATAATTGTAATATTGTCAATGTGTATAAACATTATAAGAATCGTTTTATTATTTTGTTTCTTATAGAATACAGTGTGATTGTAATTAGCTCATTCTAATCCAATCTTAAGTAGTAGTTCAGTAATCTTCTTATACTATTGTCTACCTGCTTGTTTCAATCTGTATAACACTTTGTTTAAATGTAATGCCTGTCCAGGTTTAATATCTGTAAGTAGCTTGCCTAGTAGCAGCTTCACAACATAAATGAGCTTGTCCTCATTTAGTTCTCTGTAAAGATATGTGGATTTTACATCTATCTAATGTATCTCATAGTTCTTAGATACTGCCCAAGATAACAATAATTGTACTGTTGATAGTTTTGTTACTAGGGCAAATAAGTTGTCAGAATAGAAGTCTATTCTATTCTTTTGAGCATATCCTTACACTACAAATTGTGCTTTATATTTGTCTATTTGGCTGTTAGCCAGTCTTTTAATCTTACAGACAAATTTTGTTCCATTTATGTTTGTATTTGTAGGGGGGATAGTATATGTCCATGTATTTTGTTGTTAAAGTGACTGTATTTTGTCCTTCATAGCTTTGATCCATTACTCTTTGTCAGTACAAGTTATAACATTGTAATACATTAATAGATTACTATAGATTTTGTTGAGGAATTTGTTAAATTCTGTTAGATACATAGCTAGGTTTATATTGTCTTTGTAATTTAAACCTATAGTTTGTTTAACCAGTCTTTGCTCTCATGTAGAGTGTTGTATGACAGGTTCTTTATTGTTATTATTATTATTAGGAAGAATCTTATTGTTGTTCAATGTATCATCATTATGATTATTCTCCCCTTCAATTCTAGACATGGGTTTGTCTATAAATTGTATGTATGAATAAATGTTTGATATTGTACTACATATACCCAGAATTTCATAGGTAACTTTGCTAATAACAGACATGTATGTACACTGTTAAAGATAGTCTTATACATACATTCTACAACTCTGTTTTGTTATGGTGTATTATGTACTGTTAATCTGTGTATTGTTCCTTGACTTTCAATGTATGTAGTGAAGTCTTTGCTTAGAAACACTGTATCATTATTGCTTTGAAGAGCCTTTACTCTTATACTGTATTGTGTAAAGAGTTTTATTGTATACTTTACATATTCAGTAAAAGCATTACTCTTATACTGTATAGGTAACATAGTCACCTATTGTATAGTATTGTCTACAATAGTAAAAAGATATTTGTACTTACTGTATGCTTGTACAGAAGCAGGTCCTCAAATATTAATATGGAGATAATCTCTGTAATTTTGTACAAGAGGTATAGTTTGTATTTTTGGTATTTTGTTGTGTTGTATGTTTGCTTTAATACAATCCATACACTGTACATTTTTATTGTCCATTATCCTTTGACTTATAATCTCAGGATACTCTTGTATGAGTTTGTATAAGTAATCAAAATTAACATGACTCATTTGTTAATGTAAATCAACAATAGTAATTGTGTTAATAGATTGTTTATTGTGATGAGAAACTATCATATACAAGTTATTTCATACATGTATTTCACCAATCTTTGTATGAACAGGCAAATAAATAATACATTCATTGTTTGTTTTTGTTAAAACATAACCTGCTTTGTATAATAGTACTTTACTAACAAGTGTGAAGTTCAGATTAGGATGATAGTATACATTCTGTAGTGAAATTGTATTCACCTCAGTATGCTCATTGTCTTTGTCTCATAGTTTTACATTAAATCTTATTACTCTACTTTTACTAAGTGTAAATAATAATTTATTCACAATTGTAACATTTATTAGAGTTGAGTTCTGAATGTTTGTAAGACAGAACAGGTATAAAGTAGTGTGTACATTTGTGCCAGAATCCAATATATTAATGTAATGTGTTAGTTCTGTATTATTACAATGTAATACATTAATACATATATTTGAATCATACTCAAAGTCCTTAATAACTTCTTTTATTTTGTTGAATGAGTTTATAAAGTTGTCTACTTTCATAACACTATCCTCTTGTATTTTGAATGTAGAGAACATGTTGGATTCAACAGATAGAATGTTAGGGATTAATGCTAAGACTTCTATAATTATAGACTCTAGTATTAGTGTTTTATTAATGTCTTTAATGAATGCTACTATAGTAAGTACAGGTTGAGACAATGTAGAAGTAGAAGTAGAAGTAGAAGTAGAAGTAGAAGTAGAAGTAGAAGTAGAAGTAGAAGTAGAAGTAGAAGTAGTAGCTGTTTGCTTATACTTTTTCTTTCAAGCTTTTGTTGTTCTACTCATTAGAGAGTTTTAGTAGTCTTTTAACATATACTTGTACCTATTATAATTATAGTACTTGACTTTACTATAAGGCTTCAATTTGCCCTTAGCTACACTTTTGCCTTTTGTTTGTAGGCTGTCTTGTTCAGAATCATGTTTTGTTTGAGAATGCTGAATATAATACTTAGTGTATGTGTTTTGTAATTTGTGAATCAACTTAGCTAGTATTAGTATGTTTTTCTAAGCTACTGTAACTGTTAGTAGTTGATTATAATAGGTAATCTGCCTATCTAGCATTGTAGCTACCTATCTATACTCACAAGGAGTAGTAAGGTTAATTGCTAAGATGTACATATTGTTGTTTAGTACTTTATTGTGTACAGTTAACTACTTGTAGATTTGTTTAATATTGTCTAATATCTTATCAAACTATAATACATACTCTTTAACTATAAACAATGTAAATATGTTTACAGCATGTGTCATTATTGTTTGAACATTGTATCATTCAGAAAGCACCTTTATAAGACTTATAACACTTGTATGTATTGTAAAGTTTGTATATATTGTATTAGTTATTGTTTTTATAATATAGTAATACAAAATATTACCTGTACATATGCTAGCATTATTAGAAGAAGGAGGATCATACTATAGATGATTGGAGAGCATCATAGTAGTAAGTACACTGTGTATGTGTAAGTACTATATCTTATATCCCTTTGTACTAACCAACTTTTCAGTTCTCTTAAAGAACTTTAGAATATTAGAGTCCTTTATTATAGTATTAATAAAGGTATATATTGTAGACAACATTGTGATGGGTTTGGAGGGAGGGGAAGTACTAGAGCTTAGTGTACTAGTAGGAGGCAAAGGCATTCTGTAAGAGTAAGTATATAGGAGTATTCAACAAGTAGTAAGACTTATAACCTTTTAATAAGTATAGTAAGAATACCTCTCAGCTCTACTATAACATTAAGTGTGTGTCTGCCTTATATACTATAGGAAGGAAGTCTGATAGTCTAAGACATCCTAAGTACAGTAATGCTACATAAGGCAATTAGGGTTTCCTAATATAGAACACAAGGAAAGAGTACAATCTAATAATAGTTTTTAGTCTCAAATTGTTATACTTAATTCCTAATAGTATTTATTATTAAAATTCTCTATTTTCTTACTTACTATTATAGTAGACTGAAAAATTCATGTGTATTAACAGATTAAGTTAATCTACAAGTATACTTATAAATAAGTTCTACTATATCTGTACTAGAAATGTATACAGAATTTATATAGTATTATTATTGTATTTTCAACTAGTCAACTGATTAGATAATCCTGTTTTACACTTAAGCAAGCAAGTTATTGTACTTGTTGAGCTTATCCTTACTAAGATACTTTAGAACTTTCTTTGTTTGCTTGATGAGAACTGATTAGGATGCTACTACTATATTAGGAAGATGCTAAAAATAGATGTACTCATGATATGGTCTACTCACAAACTGTCATCAAAGTACAGTAAGTTAGTCCTATCATTGTTCAAGAAGCATTATTACTGAATATGAGATAAATCTGATTAGTATCATTATGGTTGCACAGTTGATTAGTTTGCTGCATGGAAATCTTCCTCCAATAATATAATAAGTTTGCCCCATGTGAAATGTTGTGAAAGTCATCCCCCTGATACACATCTTTGCACTACTGTAACTGACAACAAGAAGTATGTTTCGCAATTCTTCCAGGTCGAAATCGCACTCGCATCATCGCTCGTCTCGATCGAGTACAGCAGCAACAGCATCATCAAGTGCCAGTAATACAACACAGAACAGAGGGTCCTATACTACACTGAACCTAAATTTTGGAAGTCTGCAGGACGTGGACTGGAAGAATCAGATCAGGCATAGAGTCGATGAAGTGATGCAATTTCTCAGATTCAGGACGCCTCTCGCAACATTCAGTATATCGAACAGTTGTATTCAAGCATGGGTTGGTATACGCTTTGGATCAAATCCAAATTCGAAGTCATGCAATTTGCTTTTTGATTCGGGCTCCTATGTAACATGGCTCAATGAAGACATATACAAGCAGATTTGTACAGCTACGGGAGCGGACCAAGGGACTGATTGTCATAAACAGGTGTTACTCCGTTATGATAATGGAAGACAGCAAGTCACTGGCAAACTATACAAGAACTCAGTCACGATTGGCAATGTGACAATCAGAGATCAGGAATTTGCGCTTGTTGATCAGCAGGAATTTGGAAGATTGGAAGAAACACTCAATGTAGAAGGTAACTATCTGGATGGAATAGTTGGGTTTGGAAGGTCGCTGGACAAATGTGTCATAGGCGACCCGGACTATAAAGTCGTTTCGATACTCGACCATCTACTGCAAAGGCAAGGGACAAATTGCAGAGCACTTGGCATAGATTTGAAGATTCCGTCAAACAACGAGCACACAGTAGTGGGTGAAGTACATATTGGCGGATATAGGCGAAGCTTGTTTAAACCGGATGAAATAACATGGGTTCCAATGAACCGCCAAAGTCTTCTCATCCCCTACTCCTTTGATATGGGTATCTCATATCAGGCACGACCCATAACACTGCGGCGATTTCCGACATTCATTGACTCTGGCTCACCATTCATAACTCTTCCAGGTTATGCTTTGGCGAATTACATTAATGCAGTCGAAGAGGTGTCAGGCAACAAGATAAAATTTGAATACGACAGTGAACAAGGACTCCATTACATTTCAAGGAAAAACTATGACAAGCTTAAGGATGCAGAGCTGAACTTTGATGGCCAGAATAAAAGGCTCCCAAAACATATGCTAATACTGCCCTCTGACAAATTAAGACGATGGATAGCCAGTGTACCTGCAGGACGCTTGTACCTTGCCTTGCGAGATGGTGGAGATGTGGATTATATAATCTTAGGTCTTTCATGGGGTATGTGATATTATTTCTGCTGTTCCTTGCGTACTAAAACAATTTCTAGCGTGGAGATACTACCTGATTGGCGACATGGTAAATTCTAGAGTCGGAATTGCAAAGGTGAAAGAAAAGACGGATTATATCTGGAGAGAACTTCGTTGATGAGGAACCTAATGATGAACTTACTGATGTTACTTAAGCAGGAGGATGGGGGGAATTTGATACATTTCTCGCAGAGAAGATACACGCCTTAGCATTCCAAATTAATAAGTGATAATGTCCACCGTAAATAGTTTTCTAGTGTCAATGTAACTTGTAACGTTTGATCGAATACACCTCGTTGTGATGAGTACGACTGTATGAGGGAATCACAGAGTCACAGACGGTAGTTTCTGCCTGGTCTTGTTCCGCGCTTCAAGATTGCGTGTGCAGGAGTCTACTCCTGGCGTCTGCTAATCAAAGGCAAAAGCGTATAATTTTGGCCCGAGTTGGTAGTGGCTTTGAAAGGTTCTGCTGGAGTATTAAAGCAAAGTTCAAAACGAAGTTCAGTTCTGAGGCGTCGGACAGAATAAGTAATGTGGGTCACGTGCTCTCACAGTACTGTGAGCGCTTCACGCACAGACGACTTTCTACCATTCAACAACGATGAGCAACAAAGTCAATATTGAAGGAGCACTGTTGTTTGAGCAGCCTTTCGCGAGGGTACGGGCCACTTATATTTCACATTTGAGAATGCTAGCTGAGCTGGTAATATGACTTGCAGGTGCCATATGAAGCCTATCGCAAGTTATTTCGCACCTCGCAGAAGTACATTGAGCGCGAGCTTGGTGCTGTCCAAACCGCATCAAAGGATCTCTCAAAGCACACAAAATCTAATTATGACCCTTCTGTGGCTCTCAAGTCTATAGATACTATGATGAGCAAGGTCGAGGGCTTGAAGCGTAAGGTACGCCTAATTGCTGTAGCGGTGTCGTGTGATACGTCCGTCGTTAACAAGATGCATTCCTCGATATCTTAGCTTTCAGATTTGCATGAGAGCTCGGGACTACAGACGCAGCATGTGATGCATGAACGATTTGTACATATCTCGGAGCTCGAGGCCTTCAATACACGAGAAGATCCTGCGTTCAGTCGGTGGGCCGACACGAGGATCGATAGATGGCTTGTTGACTGGGCTCTGAGAAATGGGAAGGAGCAGATGGCGAGGAAAGTTGCGGAAGAGAAGGGTATCGAGGTAGTTGGCCAATGTGTTTCACACCTTCCTTCCTTACTAATCAACTCCGCAGAAACTTGTCGATATCGACCTCTTCTCCGATATCCACCGTATCGAAGTCGCGCTCCAACGACATAGCTGTACAGAAGCGCTTGCATGGTGTAGTGAGAACAAGGCTGCACTACGAAAAGCGAAGAACACACTCGAGTTCGAGTTACGTTTACAAGAATTTATTGAGCTCGCACGAGCCGATAAATCGATCGAAGCGATCGCATATTCAAAGAAACACCTTGTTCCGTGGCAAGACACACACTTGAAGCAGATCCGTCAAGCTGCTACTCTCCTCGCTTTCCCCGAACGATTGGCCTTTGGAGCGTACAAACGACTATATGACCCATCGCGTTGGGAGAACCTCGTATACTCTTTTAGACTTGCAGTATACAACTTGAACGCCTTACCTACCGAACCTCTCCTCCATCTCGCACTCTACGGTGGACTCGCCTCGCTCAAACTTCCCGCATGCTACGATCCCTCCCAACCCAAGAACGCCGACTGCCCCGTCTGCGATTCTCGTGGGCTCGGCACACTTGCCAAGGAAGTGCCATGGAGCCACCACGTCAATTCAACGATCGTATGCTTTTTGAGTGGGAAAATCGTGGATGGGGATAATCCACCCATGGCCTTCCCGAATGGTTATGTGTATTCGAGGAATGCACTGGAAGAGATGGCGAGTAGACATGATGGAGTTGTTACATGCCCACGGACAGGACAGGTTTGTCAGTTTAACGAGTTGAGGAAGGTTTTCATCTCTTGAGAGGTAGATTTATACTTGCTTCTCGTAGCTTTTTTCATTATTGTCGTTGTACGCTATTGTACACTGTCATCAACTGTACTACTAATCAATCAGATCTTACCACTCCTACGCCTTTTTCCTTGTCGAGAATTGGAGGGTTTTACTTGTTTTGAGGTAAGCACCTGCTGTCTTTCTGCACTGAACCTCAATTCCTCACTCCAATGCGCTCAGGTACGCCAGGTCAGCTCAGCATCCCCTTGGGGAATTCACACCTGAAACGCGCAACGATCAAAATCAACTCTGAATCAAGTTGCTTCAGAATGATGCTTTCCCCAAGAAGAATTGTCACTCGTGCTTGGAGCGTCTTCTTATCAAATCCGGCCAACAATTGGTTTCTGGCGTGCACCTTTACATCTTCCTGATGTAATAATCCGAAGAAACATGTCAGAGCTGGGCATTACTAAGCGATCTAATGATCTTCTCTCTGATGCGATAGTCTAGAGATAGAGAAGCCTTCTGGAGTGGATGTTTTCAAGCCATCTCACCAGAGGCAAAAACCAATTCTGAGGTCTGGAAAATTTGTTTCAGAATGTATTTTCAGCCAATCAGGTGAGAGCTTTTGGATTTTGTAATAAATTCCCAGTGTTACAGAATGCAAATATGCCTCCTGTGTCTATCTATCTGCTTCTATTCTCGTGGATTTCTTGGATCCGAGCGAAGGGCTGTATTGGAAATAACTCTAATAACCATGATGAGTGGGGTAAGCGGAGCTGGCCGTTTTGGGCATCAGTTGCCGAAGATTTGCAATAATTACCGAAGGGTCGGTGAGGGAGTCGTGTGCTTCGCATCATGGTCGATGGGACGCCGGACGTGGGGATCTACGGTTATTAATATTGTTGCTGGTTATATACCTGAATGCTCCACTGCTTAGCGGGTTGGTTCGAAGAACTGGGCGCTAGTTCGACAAGGCACGCACTGCTACTGTGGCGAGCGTTGTGAACTTTCGAGGGACTTTCGGTCTTTGCTTCCCTACTACCTTTCATTGCTGTCTAGCCGTCTAGTTGTTATTTGCTCTGTGGTGATCCGAACTCTGCCACTGTCCTGCTATACCTTCTTCTCATCGAGGGCACTCTTCGACTGGTCCCACCCATCGGATTACAGATGGATTCGTCATCGCTCGCGGGGGTCCTGGCTTCGGGCCAGATGTATACCATGCTAAACAGCCTACAATCAACACGGTACCTCGCTGTGGCGTGCTTTGCGCTTCTCGTGTACGATTACTTCCTCACTTTGGAACAAGAGGTGCGCGTAGATCAATTGCTATGTTTATACTTACATCCGGAGACTCCCTGATACTAATGTATTCATTGGTGTTGTTTCTCTTCTTAGATTAAGTTGTTTTGGAGGGCTAAGCTTACGATAACGAGGGTTTTGTTCTTCCTTGTGAGTGACTCCGACTTGGTGGTCTGTCGAGGGGTGGAGGAAGGATGAGCTAATTGTGGAACATGTAGAATCGATATTTACCGCCGATTAACTTCGTGTGAGTCTGATTTATCCATTTCCGTCCCTGTCAGTGCTTAATGGAAGAGTTTTCCCTCTATGTAGCATTGTGTTAGCATGTAAGCCATTATTCACTTGAACAAATACCATTGGGACTCAAGCCTGTACTTGAGAAGGGTTCTTCTGGGACCTACCTCCTTACTGTCACGCTCACACAACACGTACGTTCTGATACGTTCCGATTGGAAGGGCTCAGTCGCATCAAAGTCACATCATCCTCATGTCAGCAATCCTTCGATTACGTCATCATCGCCCACACAATAGTCTTGGTTGCTCAATTCAGACTAGTTGGGTTCTAGACTCTAGTTCTGATTCACAAAGGCAAGACTCTAAGCCTTTAGACAGCTGGTTGATTAATACAAAGGGGACTTAGATTCAAAGTCCTAGATAGGTTGATACAAAGGAGACAGTAGTGGATTTGTTTACAAAGGACTAGTAGCTACAAAGGACTCATATTTTCTATAAATACTCTCATGTAATTTGTACTTTCTAGTAATCAAGTTACTCTCTACTGTAACTCTTAGTGTGTAGTTTGACAGTCTCCTCAGTAAACATTCCCTCTTACCTTGTCTTGTCTCATATTGTCTTGTTTCAAAGTGTAGCTTTGTTGTTCTACACTACTCTTGTCTTATTAATTGTTACCTTCAGAACTTGTACATTCTGCTTGGATCTACCTATTCCTTCTTACTCTTGACCCTTCTCAGTGTTTGTACCTTACAGACTCAACTAACCTCTTTTACCTTAACTAGTACTTAAGATTGACATTTTAGAGCCTACCATGAGAGAGGTTTCTTAAAGTGTCTTAAGTAGGCTAAGTAGCTAACAGGTAGTAGTACTACTAAGAGTACACTAACTTAATTACAGAAGAATCAGATTCTGGACCTGAATTAGATTTAGTCAACTGTAACCTCTTACAATCTGTATCCTATACACTTAGTCCTGTTTCTAAAGAGGTTTCTGTACAACCTTTTAAGCAATCCAGCTTAGCTTTACTATCCATGTTTCATAGTTTGTTCCCTAGTTTGTTTCTATCAACCTTTATACACAACTCTACTTGTTCTGTGTCTCCTGTTCTGTCTGTTCAAGAAGAGGACCACACAATCACTCTAGTGTTTCTACTACTTCTGATTGTTCTAACAGTTCTGAGTATACAGAACAATCTAATAAGTTCCTAGTCTTAATAGATGAGCTTACAGAATAATCCAAACAGCTTGTCTACTACAGCTAGTACTCTAAGTAGTTAGTCAGTTACAACTAACATTCTGAATACTTTACTAGTTACAATCTGAGGACAGACTAGCTTGCCCCTATACTAAACAAGCTGTAATACTCTCTATTATGACAGAACTAATATGTAGGACCTGTCTCAGTTCCTTAAAGAAGTAGAAATGATTAGAGATGAGTTCTAACTTTCTAATCAACAGCTTATTTAGAGAGTAAAATATTATACTAACTAATCCAATTCTAAGATCTAGGCCTTAATACCTAAAGCTATAAACAGTGTCTCAGATTAGTAAGCTGTTCAAGCAGTAATTCTTAGATTATACTTGTCCCTCAACTATAATTACTACTATACAAAGAATGATCTCTGTATTCTGGTCCAATAATAGACTGTCACCAGAATTCAGAACTGAGAAGAGTTTGTAGAGTACTAGTACAAATTCTAGAAGATAGTAAGCTTCCTAGTCTTAAAGAAAGAAATCACAGAAGAAGATTAGAACAAAGTGTTCCTCAACAGTATTACAAGTGTCTTCAAAGATTAGCTAACTCTCTGTTTACTAGTCTACAACTCTAACTACAACAGTTATATAGTTTATACATACACTAAAGTTGTTAAGGCTACTAAGCTTATGTAAGAAGGTATAGCTTTACAACACTTAGGAAAGACAGCTAATGTGTTTAGAATGATGAGTTCTGAAACTGTTCTGATAAAGAAAGAAGACACAAACATAGTTACTATCCTTAATTTGCTCTACTCATTCTAAAGCAAGTTAGACTTGTTTGAATACAAGACTAGTTCCCTGTTTGTAGGAAACACAGGTATACAATCTACACAATCTGTATAATCTGCTCAATCTGTAGGGCTGCTCTACAACACAAACTGCTCCTTTTACAGAGAAGACAGACACTTTATTTACTTGTGTTTAAAAGTTAATGAGTTCATTTGTAATAGAAAGTGTATCCAGAACACATCTAGAAAGGTTGTTCTCTCTAACAGATTGTTTGTTTTGTCAACAATCTAAGGCCAGCTACTTATAGATTGTTTTAACTAGTATTATACAACCAACCCTAGAAAGTATGCTTAAGTCTCCTAAAATGTACAGAACACACTACTACATATAGTGTCCCTCCTTAAAATTGTAAAACTAGTACTAGTATTCTAAACATTGTTTATCATTCTAACTGTATATATTGAAGAAGTCTTAGAAGTAGAATACAAGGTTGAAAGACTTAAAGTCTTACTTAGAGAGGTAAAGAAGAAAGTTGCTACTAGTAAGAAGCTCAAGTTTGACAGAGTAGAGGTTCTGAGGTATAAAACAACAAGTATTCTAAAGAAGAAGGACAAGGAACCTAAGCCAGAACCAAAGTCTACACTACCTACTAAAGTAAGCTAGGCTCTAAAGTATAACAGATTAAAGTATACTGACAAGCCTACTACTAGACTACTACTAGAACCACATTAGTACTGTAATCTCTCTCTCATTAAAGACTCTATCATTGTCTAGCAAATAGTCTCTTACATTCTAGACTCTAGTATTAGTCTTACTCTAAAGGAGCTGTTGTTGATTACACCTAATGTCTGAAAGCAAGTTAAGGAACTGTCATTTACTAAGCAAGTTCTAAACACTACTATACACTTTGTCTTAATAGAACCCTTAAAACTAATGACTTCTAAAGATACAATTATAGCTCAAGTCTTACAGTACACATAGAGCTTAGAGTCAGTTGTAGAACAGACTATTGTTACAATTCTCTACTCTTGTACCTTCAGTTCTAAGGGTTCTACACCCTTCTGTACCAGAACTCAGGACTTCTGTCTCTTAGAGGCACTGTCTATAGACTATATATATACTGACTCTTACTACTACCCTTCCTTACTTCATCATTCTATTCCTTTGACCACTCCTTCATTCTTTGTTCATTCTATAGTTTCTTACTCTTTGTCTATCCCTTCATTCTTTGTACCTTTATCTTTGACCTTCCTTTCTTTCATTCTTTGTGGCTCATCATTCTTAGTAGCTCATACTTTCTAAGTACTCTTGTGTAGTTTAGTATATATAGGTGTACAAGATCAGACTGGTCCTATAGTCTTAATCTTGTCTACTCTAGGTAGTCCTGTACTCTTAGGCTCACTCTATATACTCTACTCTTGTCTCAATCTCTCTCTCTGCCTGTTCTACAAGTTCTGACTATGTTCTAGTACTTACATTCTGTATTTCTATTGTGTAGGATAGTTGTAGCCTGAGTCCCCTCACTAAGCCTTTGGGTCCCCTCTATACTGTTACTAACATCAGATCAAGACTACCCATTACTACTCTATAACTCTCTTATGTTTTAAGTATTAGTACTTACTATTGTGTTAATCTCTTTTCTTTACTCTAACCCTTTTACATTTTTAAATTTTAAACTTTTTAAACCCTTTTAAACTTTTGCCACCCTTCTTCTATTCATTACCCCTTTTAGTTTAGTGCTGATTCCTTTGTAGTGTAAACATGGACCCTTCTATACTAACTGTCACCCTTACTGTCCTACTAGATTAGTAGTTACAAGTAGAACTAGTTTAATACATACAGACCTCTATCTAAGAGGCCTTTACTAACCATATATTCTCAGCCCCTTCAGAACCTATTCTAATTGTTCTAGAAGTTACAACCTGTTCTAGAAAGAAAGTGTATGTAGCCTACCCTTTAGACTTTAATAGGGAGCACTTTAAGGACTTCTAGTGTCAAGTCAAACTATATGTGACTACTACTTTAACTAATCTATCCTCAGATCTTGATTGTATCCTATTTGTCCTCTCCTTCATGAAGGAAGGTAACACAGCCACCTAAGCCCAGAACTAGATTAAAGGCTATCAGATTGGAAGCCTAATCTGACTTTAGAACAATGAGTCATATTCAGAATTCATGAGACAGCTCTATACTTCCTTCATTAATCTGAATGAGAAGTATAATGTACAGAACAAGCTTGTGTCTCTGTGACAGGGCAAACATTCTACTAATGCCTTCTTTCAGGAGTTTAATAATGTTCTTATTAGAATGCTTGAAAAAGCTCTTCACCTAGAACTAGTTAATAAGATTCTTGAAATGATGCTAGAACTAGTCACTTACACTAAGTAGAAGACACACACTATTTCCTTCAACTAAGCTGTGGCTCAGATGTGTCAAGTCTGTACAGAATGCTTATACATACATTTAGCTCTAACAGTTCTGAGCCCTTAGATTAATCCACCTGTAATTCACAATCAATCTGTTCTAATAAACATTAGAGAAGTCTAAAAGTAAGGAGTATACTTTACCTACAGAAAGTCAGAGCACTAGATTAAGGACTGTCTACAAAAGTAATAGTATATCTGTCAGGTCATTAGAGTAATAATGAGTAACAAGCAGGATTTGTAGTAAGAAGTCTTCTCTACAAATCTGAAAGTCACCTCAGAACTCCTAGACCCTGACTACATACTCTAAGATTTTGTAGAGACCTAATAGTAAATGTAGTACTAAAGGGCTATAACTCAGATTTTTTAATAGCCACTTTTGATTCAATAGACACTGTAGGATTAGAAGTAAATAAAGTAAGAAAAGTAGAAAAAGTAGAAAAAGTAGAAAAAATAAATTAACAAAATTATTTATTAGAAAGAAAAAGGTTGAAAACAAAAGTAGATAGTTCTCCTATTTCTTCTGATTCTTTTGATTCTTCTCTTTGCACTTTATCCAAGTCTAAATCTACACAATCTAACCTACTACTTCTGTATTCTAAGATCTTAGAATGTTTGGAACACTACCCAGCCCTGTTCACTACTCAGTAGTTTGTTTATAGTATCAAGTAGGGATAGTCTTAGTTGAGTTTACAGCTGAGGACATAAGTCTGTTCTTGTTGAAAGAGAGAGGTTAATAAGGAAATGTTAGTGTATATACTCACCCTCTTAGACAACAAGGCTGTACAAGCTGTACATTCCCTTCAGAACAAGTAGCAGTTCATCTGAGGATGTTCTAGACACTAGCTCTAGGTCCCTATCCTCTTAGCTCCCTTCTAAGGATCCCCCCAGATTCAAACAATGACTCTAGTAAACATTAGATACACTAGTTCATACATTAATAAAGCCTTTGTACAGGAACACTACCTCTCTACTTAATGTGTTCCACTTCTGATCCTAGTATATAATGTGGACAGAACCCTAAACTAGAATGGTTGGATTACTGAGTTTGTCTAACTACAGATGACTATTCAGGATCATAAGGAAAGTATTGAGTTTAGAGTCACTAACCTTAGAAAGACAGACATCTTTATTGAATTCAAATGGCTTAAGGCTCACAACCCTACTATTAACTAGTTAGAGTAGACACTTGTGTTCAATCAGTATCCTAAGACTTACAACTACTTTGTACTACTGTTCTAAGTAGATACAAACACTTTCAATGTTACTAACAGTTCTAATGAAGGTGACTAGTTGTTCTTCTTCAACTAGGATAGATATGTGGATACATATTCTAGTTAAGGTGGAACAGAGTCAATCTGAAGGATGTCTAAGACAGAACCAGTCTGAAACCCTCTTAAAACAACTCTATTCCAGAACACACATAAACCTAGCCTGCCAGATTTTGTTTAAGAGTTCCCTAAAGTCTTTAGTAAAGAGGAATTTGACCAGCTTCCTAAACACTGTCTCTAGAACCATACAATTGAATTAACTGAGAGTTTCTAACCTAAGGATTGTAAGGTCTACCTACTCAACAGAGACAAGTAGGAGGCACTCAACAAGTTCCTTTAGGAAAATCTTCAGAACAGCTGGATTCAACCCTTAAAGTCCCTTATAGCCTCCCCTTTCTTCTTTGTCAAAAAGAAAGATAGGAAGCTCTACCTAGTCTAGAATTATTATTATCTTAATGAGAGTACTGTCAAAAACAAGTACCTACTCCCTCTGATTCAGAAGCTTATTAATAAGACACATACATCCAGGGTTTTCACTAAGTTGAACATTCAATAAGGGTACAATAATATTTGGATCTAAGACAGAGATGAGTAGAAGACTGTGTTCCAAACTAATTACAGATTATACAAACTGACTGTAATGTTCTTCAGACTAACTAACTTGCTTACAACATTCTAGTCATTCATGAATCACATCCTTACAGACCTGATTGACTCAGAGTATGTTAGTGTGTATCTAGACAACATTCTGATCTTTACTCAAACAGTTGAGCACTATTACTAACTGATCTGAGCAGTTCTACAACAGCTCTAAGATAATAAACTGTTCCTCTAAGAAGTAAAGTGCTCTTTTGTACAGGAGTCAGTAAATTATCTAGACTTTATAATTAGTGGAGGAGAGGTCTGTATGAATCTAGCAAAGGTAACTACAGTTCAGAACTGGTTACAACCTCAGAACCTGAAACAGGTCCAAGCATTCCTTAGGTTTGTAAACTACTATTATTAATACTTTATTTAAGGCTTTAGTACTATTACCTGGCCCCTTCACAATCTCACTAGCAAAGATGTTCCTTAGTAATAGGATAATTAGTAGTAGTCTGTGTTTGAGTCCCTCAAGCAGGCTATTACTAGCAAGCCTATATTAGTAGTTCTAACAGTTGTAGACAAGTTTCAAGTTAAAGCTAACTCTTCCAACTTTGCAAATAGAGTAGTACTGTCCTAGTTTATTAACAGAAAGTAGTGTCTAATAGTGTTCTAATCAGAATCCCTATCTGTAACAGAACAAAACTACCCTATTTATAATAAGGAACTTCTTACAATTGTCTGTTCCCTAAAGGAGTAGTGTTAATACCTCCTTAGTACTATACAGAAGTTTGAGATTTAGAGTGATCACCTTAATCTCTAATACTTCTAAGTACCTTAGAAGCTCAACTACTACTAAGCCTGCTAGATGTTAGAACTGTAGGACTATGACTTTGTACTAACCCACAAACTTAGAACACAAATGATGAAAGCTGATTTACTCTCAAGACAAGTAGGTTATGAAAGGGGGGAGAATGATAACAAAAATCTTGTTCTCCTAAACAATTCCTGTTTTGTATCTAAGACAATCTGAGAGATCTGACTCAAATCCAAGGATGTTGACTTTGTCACCTGTATATAGTAAGCTCTAAGACACACACAGGACTAGGTTGTAGTAAAGCAGTTAGAGAAGCAGGCTAGGGATTAGGAGGAGGATAAGGATAGACAGGTTTACTAGAAAGGCTAACTGTACATTCTAAAGGATTAGAAGCTGTAGAAGGACATTGTCTAAGCTTATTACAACAATCTGACTGTAAGACATCTGGACTAACACAAAATACAGGAACTTATTACTCAGAACTACTAGTGGCCAGAAATGTAGAGGGAAATCCTAAAGTATGTAACTAGTTACAATATGTGCTAACAGACTAAGGCTTACCAGACAAGAGTTTAGGCTCTCCTACATCTACATTAGATTCTGAATCACTCTTAGGAAGAATTCTCAGTAGACCTGATTAGTAAGCTACCCAAGTCTTAGAGTTATAACACTATCTGTGTAATTGTTGACTGATTCTCTAAGTAAGTCCACACAGTTCCAACCTAAACAGAACTCACTTCTGAAAGTATAGTGTGTATTTATTAGGATCATGTCTTCTAGTTACACAGACTCCCTCAGAAGCTCATTCATGATTACAGACTGTAATTTGAGTTGAAATTTATATAGGACTTATATGTACTTCTTAGAATTCAAGGGAACCCTTCTACTACTTATTACTTACAGACTGATAGTCAAACTGAGTGAGTCAATCAGGAGATCAAGCTCTACCTCTAAATGTTCATTAATCATTAGTAATCAGATTAGTCTGAATAGTTAGCTCTAGCAGAATTTGTACACAATAACTAGTAACACTCTGTAACAGGACAGTCTCTGTTCTTCCTCAATCATAAGAGACATCTATACTAGGGAACAGTTCTAAACTAGAACAGTAGTTCTGAATCCACAACAGACTTTGTAGAACAGATACACAGAACCAGGAAGGATGTACAAGCTCTTTTAGAGAAGGTAGTACAGGTTATAAAGCAGAACTATGATTAGAAGAAGTCTACAGTCAAGAATTACCAGCCTAGTAACAAGGTTATACTAAAAGCTACTAATCTGACCTCAGATCACTTAATGAAGAAGTTGGACAACAAGTACTTCAGACCCTTCATTATTGAAAAGAAGGTCAGTACCTCTATCTACAAACTCCAACTTCTAGTAACATAGAAGTGTATACACTCAGTGTTTAATAAGGTTCTGTTGTCTTAGTACTACAATCCTAGTTTTCCTTTACAACAAAGACCCTCTCTACCTTTACTAGAACTCATTAGTTCTAAACCAGAATACAAAGTAGAATACATAGTAGATACTAAGCTACTATATAGAAAACTCAAATTCCTGGTTTACTAGAAAGGGTACCCAGTTGAGGAGCACACTTGAGAACCTGCTAAGAACCTTACTCATACTCTTAAGACAATCCAAGATTTCTATCAGCTTCATTCTAGTACTCTGTACAAACTCAGCCTTACAGATTTCCAAGCCTTACTATTCCAACCTATGCCTGAGCTGCTAACTAAGCCCTATGTTCACTAATTGGGACAATTGGTTTTAGAGGGGGGGTAATGTTACAATTCTCTACTCTTGTACCTTCAGTTCTAAGGGTTCTACACCCTTCTGTACTAGAACTTAGGACTTCTGTCCCTTAGGGGCACTATTTATAGACTATATGTGTACTGACTCTTACTACTACCCTTCCTTACTTCATCATTCTATTCCTTTGACCACCCCTTCATTCTTTGTTCATTCTATAGTCTCTTACTCTTTGTCCATCCCTTCATTCTTTGTACCTTTATCTTTGACCTTCCTTTCTTTCATTCTTTGTGGCTCATCATTCTTAGTAGCTTATACTCTCTGAGTACTCTTATATAGTTTAGTATATATAGGTGTACAAGATCAGACTAGTCCTGTAGTCTTGATCTTGTCTACTCTAGGTAGTCCTGTACTCTTAGGCTTACTCTATATACTCTACTCTTGTCTCAATCTCTCTCTCTACCTGTTCTACAAGTTCTGACTATGTTCTAGTACTTACATTCTGTATTTCTGTTGTGTAGGATAGTTGTAGCCTGGGTCCCCTTACTGAGCCTTCAGGTCCCCTCTACACTGTTACTGACAGCTATACTGTTATATACAGTTAAAGCCATCTTTAAAGATACTAAAGAAATCCACTGTATTCTAGACTAAGGAGTAATACTCTGTATTATTTGTAAGGATGTATAAAAATGTTTTAGAATCTATCTGTGTTCTGATCTTACAATTATACTTGAAACTACTAACTCTGGACAAGTACTAATACTTAGTACTGTTAAGAATGTAAAGATCAATATTACTAGAGTCAACATTACCCTCCAAGCCCAAGTTGTTTGTTAAGCCCTGTTTGAGACACTCTTAGGCTGACCATTCTTTACTATTACAGAATGTGAAACAAAGGACTTTATTAACAGTAACCAATTTATAACACTATTGGATCCCTTGGATTGTTAACAGAAGTGCTAAGTTATGACTAGAACATGAACCATTCTACAGAAACATGACAAACAAGGATTCACAGTAATTACTAATCTCTCTACTCTTATATTAGTCAATCAGCCCCTTAGTGTTTAGGACAAACAGTGTTCTGATTTGAGTTCTAATACTACTAAAGCTACAATTCCTAACACACACACACTATTCTACAATAGATACACACTAGTCTCTACTATAGTCAATCTACTCCTCAGTTGTCTAACCACCCTGTCACCTACCCTAGGATTAGACCCCTTTGTTCTATACATGCTTGACAGCCTTAGAGAAAACATATTTGTATACAAGAAGGTAGTAAAGAAGGTTAGACCAGTTGCTAGAACTCTCTCAGAAGAGTTTTAGATCATTTGACAGAAGCATTCTAATCTGTTGAAGAACATGCCAGAACTACTACTACACTCTAAGCTGTTTGTCCTAACACACTGTTTCACACAAGAATGTATGGAAGCTCTTAACATTGATCTATACAACTTCCTCTGGCTAGAAGAGTACCAGCTTTTGATCAATCTGATTTTAATGTATGAGAACACTTTTGCCTGGAACAAGCTTGAGAAAGGTGCTCTAGACCTAGAATACTTTGATCTGATATTAATTCTGACTGTTCTGCATATTCTATGAGTACAAAGGAACATCTGGATTCTACAGGGAAACCTTAACACAATTGTGAAAATTCTTAAAGACAAAATCACTACTAGAGTTTACAAGCTGTTAAACTCATCTTACTGTTTCTAATAGTTTACTATAGTAAAGAAAGACAGAAAGTCTCTGTACCTAGTCTACAACCTCTAGGAACTCAACTGAGTTTCAATCCAAGACTCATCCATACCTCTAATGATTGAACAGGTTATTAAATCCTTCTCTAAAAGGGCCATTTACTCTATGCTAGATCTCTTTATTACCTTCAACCAATACTCTCTTAATAAACACTCTTACAATCTTACAATGTTTTAGACACTACTCAGAATGTTCTGACTTACTGTTATTCTAATGGGTTATACTAATTCTTTTCAAATTATGTACAGTAATATTACTTTTATTTTACAGGACAAAATTCCTAATATAGTACAACCCTACACTAATAATGTCTATGTTAAAGGTAGAACTACAAGATACAAACGTTCAGACAGAACATACAAAACTGTTCCTAGAAACTCTAGTATCCAACAATTTGTGTAGGAACACACTCACAACCTAAACTGTATTATACAGTGAGTCAAAACAGTCTACAGAACATTCTCTAGTCTAAAGCTGTGTGTGTTCCAACTGTACACAACTGTCTTACACTATAAGTGTACTTATGCTGGAAGGGAGCCAGATGATTCAAAAGTCCAGAAAATCTATAACTAGCTCACATGTCAATCTGTCTCCAAAGTTAGAGGATTCCTCAGAACCACAAGTGTCCTCCACATGTTTATTCAAAATTTTGCTCAGCTTGCTAGACTACTCACACATTTGACTAAGTACAACATTCTGTTTGAGTTCTGTTTAGAACACATGGTAGTGATAGACAAACTCAAAGACACTATTATTAATAGTCCTACCTTATGTGTTATTGACTATGAGTCAGACATAGAGGTTATTGTTACTATAGACTCATCTATTATTAGTGTAGGATTCTATCTTAGACAAGAACACCTTGACAGTTGTTGTTGAATTAACTAATTCAGATCAATTAACTAGAACAAAGTACAATCCTAATACTCCTAAGCTAAGATTAAACTCTTCAGATTGTTCTACACACTCTGTACTCTACAAATTCACCTTATCAGAGTAAGGAAGTTAGTAGTAGAAATGGATACTGTCTACATTAAGGGTATGATAAATAACCTAGACTTACAGTCAAATGCTACAATTAACAGATAGATTGCTAGAATCCTACTGTTTGACTTTGAGTTTCAACATGTTCCAGCCTTACAGTTTGCTTGTACTAATAGACTGTCTTAATGTTTATACACTGAAGCTGACCCAGAAGAAGAAGATGACTTTGAGGAATAGATTGACTAAGCTTACACCTTCTGTTACAGTTCTGTGTTCACTATTCTAAACAAAACCAAACCTTTCAAGACATTTCTAACAACTGATTGTATACATGCTAGAGAATATTGTCTCAGACAAGTTAAGACCTTCCTGGAAACATGCCTCCAACTGTCTAGGATGGAAAATCACAAATTCACCACCTTTGTTCACTATACAACCACTTTCTTTGTTAAGACCAGCCAACTGTGGCAGAAAACCTAGAACAGTAACTACTAACTTGTAATAGAACCTAACTAACAATAGAATCTTATCAAGACTGTGTATAACAATCTCAGACATAAAGGAGTCTACTCTGTCCAGGCTAGACTTCTTGACCACTTCTAGTAGTCTAACCTTAGACCTGATGTCAAGTACTACATTTACACTTGTCACAAATGCTAACTCTGTTAGACAACTCAAATCCTGATCCTGTCCAGCATTCTAAAGATTGCCCTATTATTTGTTAAGGTACACATTAATACTAAGTTCATACTGAAAGCAGGAGGGTTCTGATACATTGTTCATACTTAATACACACTCTCTAGCTACCCTGAGTTCTACTTACTCTGTTCTGAAACCAGACAAAGTATTAGACAATTCATTTTTGAAGATATTCTCTGTTGATTTGGTGTATGCTTAGAACTTGTTACTAACAACAGAACCCTGTTTATTGCCACACTAGATTAGCTTCACAACTAATACTACATTAATCACATCTGTATTAGTGTATACAACTCTTAAACTAATAGTATTATTAAACACTACCACTTTGACATACAGAAAGCCCTTATAAAGGCTGCCAAAGGGAATGAACTATAATAGTATGAACATACACATTCTGTCTTTTGGTCAGATCAGATCACAATCTGTTACACAACTAGTATGTCCCCTTATTTTATTATCTATAGTGTTGAACCATTTCTCTCATTCAATATTACAGAAGCAATGTATCTTGCCCTAACACTAGACAAACTCATAACAATGATGGAACTCATTACTACTCAAGCATGTCAACTCCAGAAATGTCTGGCCAATCTTTAAGCTATTATAGAATGTGTCTATACAGACTGAATCATTTTGCTCCAACAATTTGAAGAAACACACAAACACTTGATTAAAGACTTTAACTTCAAACCTAGTCAACTTGTCCTTATACACAACTCTAAATCATGAATGGATCTCAGACAAAAAACCAAGCCACACTATCTTAGACTATACATAGTAGTCTGTCATACATAAGAAGGATTCTATATTATAGCTGAACTTGATGGATTAGTCTCCTGTCTTTGTATTACAGTGTTCTGCCTAGTTCTGTACTTTGCCTGTACTATACTCTCAATTCTAGTCACACATCTTGTTGAAAACTTTAGTCTAGTTAATGAAATTAACAACACTAACAACCTACTACTGTCAGACAAGCCTTCTGAGGACTCTAACTCTGACTAAAGGCCAATTGTGGCTAACCACTATAGACCTATACATTCCATACTTTCTTGAATTCACCTTTTTCTATTGACCCCTTATAATATTCTAGACAACATTCTAATTCTGTTCTACTCTATCTTCTGTTTTTCTTTAATTTTACTTTTAACTAATTGTAGATTATAGTTAGACTTATACTTTAAACCTGTATGGTTTTCCCTGTAGTACATTTTTCCCACTAGGTTTTTTGTACACAGGTTTTTGTCTAGCAGCCCTTAGACCACTTTTGCATTTCTTTAGTTACAACAGTCTCAAAGTTATGTATTAAGAGCTTTGTTCTGTTTTGTTCTATTTTGTTCTGTTCTTGTTCTGTTCTTACACTGTTCTTGTTCTATTTTGGTTCTATTTTTGTTCTGTTTCTTTTTCAGTTTTGTTCTGTTCTTGTTCTGTTCTTGTTCTGTTCTTGTTCCATTAATTTGCCTTACTTTCAGTATGTATATAGTCTTACCTCTGTTATTTACCTATCAATACTGAGTCACTCTTATTACCTTACAATTATCACACTTGTGCTTTAGTAACATCATGTATTACTATGAACATACAGAAAATACTATTTAAACTACAGAGGGAGGATTATATTTGGCTGCTTCTATAGGCAGCTTTTACATTAACTGTCTCACCTACACTGGTTCAGTTGTTTCAAACAGAATGTCTAATTCTGTCCATCCTTCTGTCCATCCTTCTAACACCTTGCCTTTACACCCATCCTAGCCTGTAGCTGCTCCACATCCTGTATCATTGTATCCAACATCACACAATAGGTAGCCACCTGCCTTCCAAGGACACAAAGCTTGTGTTTGAGCTCCAGATCCTCTCAGAACTTACTGTCATCCAACAAGTGTTCTAAGAGTTCACCTAGAAGAATGTCATCTTCAAAAGCTATTAGTATTGATCTCAGAACAACTTACCCAGATCCTCCAGACACACCCTTAACAGTCTAGCTACAGGGTATGGGTTTGTCACTATTGTCCTCCCCTGCCTCAACCTTGTATCCCTTGCTGCCTTACCAGTCTTTGCAAGAGAGCAACAGATCTTGCTCTTCTTACATGCCAAGCATGCAATTATCTCACCATACTCTTGAATGCACACTATGTGCTGACGGACGCAGCTGCTGCACCTCCGACTCGTCAAAGGTGTCAGGCCACTGTCTAGCACTGACTCTGGCACTAGAGAACTGTTCCAGAACTGCAACTCAACCTGCCTGTTTTCATTACGAAGTGAGTTTTATGCTCGAGTTCTTGCTCCAAGGCTTTACTGACGTGAAGCCATAGTTGTCAGTTTAACCGAGCTATAATTAAATTAATATCCCACTGAGTAGTGGACAAAATTAGTTGCCACGGATCGATGATCTCGACCGCGACGTTCACAGTCTTCGAACTGATTATTATGCAGGGTCGGTTTCTTCACACATTCCGGAGGAGGTTGGGAAACTCACATTGACCTGCGCTTGGACAGCCATCTTAGTAGCTCGAGTTGTGCATCTCTGGACCTGGAAGCAAGCAGTCCAACGAAGTGTCCTTGCGTTTTTCTTTCTCTGTGTTGTAGTCGTGACTATCATATTTGGTTTCGTGATGAAGGTGAGTTACCTGTCATGCTCCGCAAAAGAATTTGCTTTGTCCCTGCTCCTATTTCGGAGGGAAGAGTAAATAATGAATAGCGCTGATATGAGCTACTTTTAGGATACAGGCGCGATAGTCCTACCTTGTGAGAGTGCCAATTTCTGATGTAAGGTTATATCCGTCTCACCTGCTCGCACGCTCAGCGCCAGTCCGCGGATGCTTCGATATCAGCACAGGGCCGAATGCTCATCTATACTGGAGTGTGTGAGATTTCTTGCGGTACATTTGAAATTTCTACCGGACTGATAGAATTCGACCCGTATTCCATTTTATATTGTAGCAATGCTTGTGCCGACGTTTGTTAGTGATTTCATTACGAGCTATGGATGACCAACTTTACTGATGATTGTGTTTCTCATTCTGGGCTTAGGTTCTGGAAAGTGCGTTTCTATACAATATGATGGCTTACTAGTGACTGACGAAGCTCAAAACATGACACATTAGCCGTACTCATTGTCTTGACCGTTGCTCGGATAGCAGGCCCCTTGCAGAAGAGTGATTACAAGAATAAGTTGCTGAGATGCCTTGTTAGAGAGTAAGCATACATCCCTTACTTCGCTACTGGTTATTGATATTGTATTGACTCTGGTTTTAGTGGATGTGTATTTTACTTTTGTGTTTGCAGTAGGTCTTATTGGTATGGTTTCAATTATGCGGAAATTAAGCTTTCTTCAGTATGTGTAGGATTTGGGGTCATAGGAAGTGCAATGTGGGATCATCCTCAGGTACGTACGATGACGAAGAGCCTATTACTCTTTGTAGGACCATAGACTAATGCCTGTCGCCTTTGTCACAGGTTTCGTTTCCAGCAATATTTTCTGGGTAGGTACCACCTGGAACCGGAGTTGAAGTATTCTGATGGCCGATATTTTCATAATGAAATTCTTCAGCTTTCTTCCTGTGATACTATCGATCTGCGCATCAAGACTTCTCTTCAATCTACACGAATTGGCAGAAGAGCTCGTCGGTCAACCAACGTTTGCACTGAACAACGTTGAGCTCGGTCGTCTGAATTTACGCAAGGGTCCAAGGCACGGAGAATTCATCGTCGATGTCGGAGGACCATACCCTAACCAAGATGCTCATTCATTGTCGAGTCGAGGATCGTATTGCAAGACGAGCGAGTACGAGAACTTTTATGCCAATGATGACAGGTGGTCGAGGCAACCAACTACGAAACCAACCATGATTAGAAGCGAAAGAGATTGGTTACCGTACATTCAAAGATTGTCTAAGTTTCATGTTGGATTTTGGAATGGGAGCACGTCCACGTTGTAGAGGCACTTTTGTTGCTGTTGTCTTTGATGTATTGATTACAGCCCATGTATTTCTATGATCTGTTGCCAAGCAATGTACAATGACTGAGTTTGTTTGAAGACACCATTCATGTCGAAGGGCCAGGAATTGCGCCCCCGCGAGCCATCTTCCTATCGTGTCCCCTCTTTCGATTATGATTTGCTTGACGCGCTTTGTTTTTGTCCTTCCATGCACGTTCTCTTGCGTCGCCGCCATCCCCTTTAGCACTCTCTCCACCGCCTCTTCCACCTCTGCCTCTACCCCGGCCGGGTCCACCACGCCCTCGTCCTCGTCCACGACCTCCACGAGAACTTCCACCGGTTTGACCTGAAGATGAACCAGGTATGAGACCCTTTTTGTTACCAGCGAACTCGTGTTTCTGGAGAATTTTGTCTTTCTTCGGCTGCACAAACAAATACCATGGGGTCAGTGTATGAAAAATAAAGAGTAATGATAATAGGGTTATGTGAGTCTTACGCTTTTCTCTAGCATAATTCGCCATCCTTCAAGTTGCTCGTCAGACCAACCTGTCTGAGCTTTCAAGTCCGCACGCGATTTCGAGCGACGCGTAAAGGAGTCGCGATCGAACACACTCGGATCTTTGATATATGCGAGTTCGCAGATTGTTTCGGGTGTTTGTGGAGGGGCAGGAGCCTGCGCTTCACCCTCGCCTTCTTCGTCCTCCTCGCTCCCTTCTCCGCTCCCTTCTCCATCTCCAATGACTTTAACTGCGCCATCTAGAACTGATTCTAAGTCCTCGTCCTCTGCGTCGACCTCTTCTCCGTCGGAATCTGATAGTTCCGCAGCACGACGGAGGATATCGGCTTTCATCTGATCAAGGAACGCACGATCCTGTAATACGACGTCCGCGTCCCCACGTCGCTTTCCGATGTTTACAGTTGTGGCCTCAATAGGCTGCTCGTTGAATACATTACGGCGTTCAGGAAGTGGTGCATGGAGAACTGGAGCCGGGACCGTTTCGGATTCAGTTCTCAATGTAGATGGTGGAGGAGCGTCGCCCTCAAGTAGCGCCGCCACAATGCGTTCAGCGTTGCCGTCGTACCGTGGTAATGCTAGGAGGTCTCGTACATATCCAGGGTCTTGGTCCGGAAGGATATCTAGAACACTCGATACTGCAGCGTCGAGCTCGATGCCAGGAATGGGCTCGGGTTCGGGAGCGGCACGGTCCTTTCCTTTCGCACTTACTCCGCGATTATCAATTCCTGGAGGAACTCCGTTCGAACGGAGAACAACCCTAAGAGCTCCGGCCTTGTTGTCGTTGTCGATCTCGGTCTCGAAGGACTTCAACGTTGCCTCCAAAACGTCAAGTCTCGGATCGTCGTTGTTTGACAGCACAGATGCTAACGTGGACGATAAGCCGCACGCATCTTGATAATCTGCGACCAAAGTCCGATTCAGGAATGGAGTCGGTCGCACAGAAGATTGTGAGGACGCGGATGGGAGGTTAAGAAGCGCGAATAGTATTCCGAACGCGCGTTCGGCATGAGTTCGAGGATCTGCGCGAACTTGGTTCAGAATGCGTTCCAGTAGTACATGGAAAGAGTCGATTAGCGCGACTTTGCATCCGATCCACACCGTAGTGGTTTCGGTCTCGTCAACGCGGTCGATGTTGATCCCACCGTAGCCCGCGGCTATCGCAGAAAGGCGTGAGTCGTAGCATTTTGCGATCGCCATGATAAATTCGTTGTCTTTTAAGAATTCATCGATAACGACCGATGGGACACTTTGTAAAAGGCATTTTAGACAGTAAGCTGTCTTCCGTAAGGCATGGAGTCCGCTGTCCGAAGAAAGCAAGATCGAGACGAAAGACGGCGCGGCGGAGTTACGAAATTCCTGTAGTAATATAGGATTTGATTTCACTGCTTTACCGACCAATTCATTCACTTTCGTAGAGTTTTTGGGTCCGTAAACGATGCATATATCCACAATAATTTGTAAATACAGGCCACCAGCATTCGACACAGCAGCGAGGCGTGAAGCGAGGCTGAGTACGCGCTTCCGAATGACCTTCTCCTGAGCAGGTCGTCTTTCCGTTTCTGATCCATCAGTTAAAAAAATGAGCCCGTTTAAGACCTTTGCCGCTTCTGCTCGCGTATAAGTCGAAATGAAGTCCCTGCAAGATATTTTTGATAGCTGATCATCAGAGAGCGACAGCGCGTGAAGCAGAGTTGAAGAGATACGGTCAAGGACGGCTACTTGTTGTGATGGAGGTATACTTCGCAGTGTACTTGCAGATGGACATATTGGCAGAGAATGGATGTCAGTGAGTTTTACTGTCATGGTCGTTTGTTGTCAACAAATTATTCTACTGATTTCAGCTGAATATCTTTTATTACGTAAACACTTTCTTATTTTGGAAATCAACTGTCATATGACATCGCTAATGTTTTTCTTTTTTTTTTTTTTTAACTTCCAACCACCACGCAGCAGATTCAAGGTTGCGATGCTCGCCACAAACAGGATGTCCACTTATTTTATGGCGTGGCTCATCTCATCTTGCGAGCGGGCCAAGGTCTGAGTATTTTAATCCCCCTCGACCGACTCTTGCCGGGTCTGGACACCATCGTTCGAACCGCGTACAAGAAATGCAAGCAGCGTCTCCCGACTTCGTGTTACCCCTAAGACTCCGTTCATACGGATGAGGGGCGTGGCAAGCTGCTTTTGGGAAGCGTTGTGGGGATCGGGTGGCCGTGTACATCTCGTCGATACTGTATAGTCATCGACGAGATCGGTCGCTCTTTAGCTCAATTTGCGACGCGCCAAGCACGTACACATCGGTGTTCTGGTGTTACTCAATTCAGACTACTCTGGATCTGCTGCATTTCTACAAATTTTTCTCGACATGTGCTCTTTGCGAGCACATCAGGAAATGCACTTATTACACTTCACAGTTTAGGTCTTGCTAATTAGGAAGTCATGAAAATTATTCTGCAGCATGTCAAGGTTTGGGTTGTGTGGCATTAAGGTGTTCGTAGCACTGGACACCCACTTACGGGCTTTGCGGTTGTGCAGGGCATTTTCATCTGCATCTAGGATTTTACTTAACTGTCATCCACTTAAAATTGATCACGCTTACAGCCACCTCTTGTTATCCCTTACATATTGCTATTGTCCTCGATTGCTGGCGTGTTGGAGTATCACTGTCCAAAGGCGAATAAACCCGCGACTTCTGAAGGTGCTTGATTTCACTTCTTTACAAGAAACATTTTTGATGTCACGCGCATCGCATGGTTGTCCGGATCGTTCTACGCATATACGCACAGATTATTCTGTCATGACTGGACGAGTCATACAGCAGTGTATCTGCTAATGGCTTGTTTCAATTCGATATTATTCGACGTCTCAAAAGGTCAACCTGTTTCATTCATTGATGTAGTTAGGGCTATTCAACTAGTATTCAATACATATTGACTACTCGTGCATTATGAGACTGGTACATGTCTCCGGGTCTTTGCTGTTGCCTTATCTAACGAGGATCGTCTTGGGAATCTCCCTGGCCTGATTTACAAGTGTCTTTCTGGCCTAACTTTCGTGAATCCCTCCGGTCTGATGTTCGGCGACTTTGACTCATCTCCGCCTTATCTAGAGTGTACAGAAGGACGATCCATTCGTTAATGCCTTTTTGGAGACAAGTGGAAGGACGGGTAAACTTACGAATGCGTGATTCTAGCTCTTTCAGTACGGCCTCCTCCACATCCTTCCGTGTACTCAGTTTCGCAGTTGAGTATTTCTCGTTTTTTCCGGAATTATTGCGGACTTTTAACCATTCACTCAGTATTTGATTATCTGTTACAGAATTGGCATATAAAAGGGCAGCTTACTTATGCAATGCCAGCGTCCTTCAACGGCTGATTCGTCTTCGTGGACCCGGACATACACGAACTTTGGATCGCCTTCCTTATAGCCTAGAGCTCCATTCACTGGAATGTGTAAATAATCAGAGCCCGACCAGTTTAACTGCAGACGAGCAGCTGTGTATCTGTATGCACGTACGCCGATCAACTGCCGTGATCACACTGATCGAGGATGGATCTGAGATTGCCTCGTGCAAATTTGAATGAGACGGGTTATCGCGACGTTCAGACATTGTCCGTGTTCTGTGCTTGACAATACCTTTGATTGCTAGGAAACAAACCCTTGCAAACACAAGTCTGGCCTATTTTAATCCTCAGTAGTTGCTAGCAAAGAGCATAGCTAGGAAATGATGGACAGAGAGATAAGACCATATGATCTAGCCCAATGTCAAGGGTGTGGGACTAGCTAGTCTGATGGTGATGGAAAACTGGTCCAGATTTTTACCATCATAAGTCAAACAAAGAGATGGACTGACATTGCTTCTGCCTTCAAACCGTTGATGGCAGGTAGCAAAGTTAAAGAAAGTCCTCTGAATACCTTGTAAACGAGTCCCTAGTTCTGTGAAGTCGCTACATCAAACCCGCTAAGTTTGATACTGCATGAAGTTAGTAATATCCATGTGGCGCAGATATTATTACTCCAGAAGGGAATGCCGCATGCATTGCAACGTCCAGATGCTGGTGTATCCCTCTTCGACACATCGCTACAGATAGGCTCATTCTCCTTGTCCCGGCGGCAGGCAGGTTCAATTATGACGGGCATAATATCATGTGGAATATGAACATGTTTTATGCCACGCCCTGAGATACATCCTAAAATGTGTCACTGACCAGACGAGTATCTGAAATGATTTACAATGCTTTGTCTGTATTGTATGCTTCTTCTGCGCAGTGGACAATCACAAATTTGCAACCACGAGTAAATTTTTGATGTTATCACAAGACATCGCCACACAGTATCTAGTTTCCTCTCTGGAGTCTAGAGCATCATCTCCGCTTTAACCCACATATGCGTTGGACATGATGCAGGTATGGTATGGTATGTTTCCCAGTATAGGTCCCTAAAAAGAGACACTAGGTATAGTGTGAGGTACAGCAAGTGGCGGAGCAGAGTGCAAAATACACTTTGTAAGAGCCGCTTGCAAATCGAAGATTCCTGAAACACGATCTGAGAGATCTAGGAGAAAGTATGTAGAGACAGTAAGCCTTCACTGTATAGGGGGTGCACTTTGTGCAGTGTGCATGATGCAAATGATACCTCAAGCACAAGCTACAGAGATTGTTGAAACACGACAGACTTTGCACTTATTTTTTCCATATGTCCTGCATTGGCCTCAGCCAACTATTATTCTCTGGTGTAATTGAGACGCTTTGATTGGCTATTGCATTTTTTAGTGTACATACCTTGATCTTAATTTCAGGATAATTAGGCAATTGGTCATGTAACCGATCATACTGGATGTACGTTTTCAATAAAATTTCAACGTATTTTGTGGCCCATTTATCTTATATAATGAATAGCATTTTCCCATACACGAAAGGTTCAGTAATCAGGTATCACGGATTCACGCTGGTTTTAAAAAAGAGTCAATACAATAGGCGATTGGATTTTGCATGAACCTTTCGTGCAGGCCAAGCTGTTTCCCTTGAGCAATAACAAGAAAAGCATCAGAGCAATGTGAAAGAGATTATGCCACAGTAAGAGAAACAGGCTGTGCTTCTGAATGGAAACGGGGATCAAGTACAAATGCACTATTGACTCAGCTACAAATCAGAGGGAGAGGTTGTTATTATACAACTTCGCAATTCTTCTTACCTAAGAGAATGCCTTGTTCTCGACTTAGATCGGAAGCTAAACATATCACACTAATTCATATTTCAAAGAGGATCCCGACAGACAAATATCAAACAGCAAACATATCCCTATATCAAAGTTATTTCATTGTCAGTGAACCCAATATCTCTCCTTCGGCGAGCGAATTGTCGACGGTTCAGTATCTTCACCATTAAGCCTTTAAAGGTTGATGTTGACCGGAACGCAACCAATCGCGATCAAACCGTCTAGAAAGTGTTTGGCGTTAGAAAGCAAAGTCATGTAGTTTGAAAGACTGTAGAAAGAATGAAATGATTTACTGAAACTGTTGTTCTCGCAACAGACAGGCTGAGCGTTGCTGAAAGGAAACAACAGGTTAGTACAGACGTACAATCCGGTGACCTTTTACTCCTACATACCAACTATTGCCTCCAACACCAATGACGCTGATTGGGCTGCAGGTGATTCCAACGAGGACGTCAACGCCCTGAACAACGACACCCAAGAGGCCGAGAAGCGTCGAAGCGGCAGGGTCATCGGGGGATGTAACAGAGTTGCAGCACTGGATAGGGCCAGTGTTGCATTGGCTTGCAGGCTCGGTTGCCGTTGCAGTCTCAGTCACGGTGACGGTCTTCGTGGTCGCTGGCTTCGTCGTGGGGGTAGCCCAAGGCGTGGCGACAGCAAGGAGCGGGAGAGCGAGGAGGGAAGTGTACTTCGCGAAGCGCATAGTTATAAGTCGAGATAGAAGTTTGAGAAACAGTGGGTAGTCGAGAACTCGGTAGCTGAGTGACTGAGGATAAGTATGTGAAGACAGACCAGCTTTTATAAAACAGAGCACGGTCCGTGCACGTTGAGCAAGGCACAACATGATGCTGTGTTCTGGTCCACAAGCAGGATACATGTTACTCTTTTGAGGTTCCAACATTGGAATCTTACAACAGCGGAAGATCTCGACAGTCAGACGTCATTTATCAATTGCTTTGTTTGCTCCAGTTGACAAGTAGACAGCATCTAATCATTAGAATTGATGGCCTTGAAGATATAGCAGCATGTCAACGCGCCATTGGCGAGAATCCTAATTCGCCCCCTACCTTTCGGACCCGTTATTCAGACTGTCAAACCGAATAACGTTGGAACCATCACAAAACCAGTGGTCCAGGTACGCAAATGTCGAAGTGATAACAAACCTACCGAGGCAACTGTTGATGCGTGCACTCGTGCTAATCGGGGTTCTCATTCACCGATCAACTCCTATTGAGTATGAGGAACAAATTCAGTCTTCTGAATAGTTTACGCGAAAAAACGTACTGATGGCACTCACATTATTGCACCCGTGACGAAGGGTTCGAACATGTTTCAACGAATGAAACTTGCGCTGCATCTGCTTGGTTTATAGATGCAGAACGACGTAGACGGGGAAGCAACTGCTAATTGATGTTAAAGGTAACGCCGCTGACGCAGCGTTAAGGGAGTATGCGATTAACCATGGCGATCACGTCACCGGCGAATCGTTACGTCTCTGTAGTCCCACGTTCCGAAGGATGAGAACTCATGAGTTGTGAAGTATACAACGCAAGAATGCTGTACATACAAGAGATGACAGAAGAACAGTGCCTACTTGCAATTGGAGTAAAAACTCCGCTTGCACATGCACAAATCGAGGCTAATGAGGCCAGGTGTTGTGGACGGAGGCAAACCGATTGGTCGAAAAAGAGATCGTACCTCAAATAGCCCAAAAAGGCAAAAACACTTCTGGATCGCAGAAGTTAATGACGCCTATGATGAGAGGAACAAAGCCAGGATCGAGCAGCGAGTAACAACACAGGCTAGATGCTGCTGTAGAGACATAAGCCACTACCGGAACTCAAGCACTTGTATACTTTACGAAGCTAGCCGAAAAAACCTAGTCGCCAAGCTCGGATGGAGAATGAAATGCAACATCTAGACATGGACGGGGACCTTGTTCACGGGAGTGCAGTGAATTTGCAAGCAAAGTAACATCTCGGATCACAACACATTGTCGCTTACGGACTTTTTCCGGTAAGGTTTCTATAGCTTTCATACACTTTAGCGAATTGAAAGAAAGGTCGAGACCCACGGGCGGCGATACGGCGAAATTGACGTGAAATGAAAATATGTGAGGCCAGCGCGACGGAAGCAAAGCAATTTAAAATCAGGGTTTCAATATGCACAGTATTATTCGTGAGGTAATATAATTAAATATAATTTAAGACTATTGGCAGATACAGAAGTAAATAATTAAATGTACGAGGACAGAGAAGTAACAGGTGTGGAATGGAACAGAACACCAGCAAGTGACAAAAGCAAGAGAAATTACCATAGATACTCGAGGAAAAGCAAATAAAAGGAAGGCAAATAAATAAACAGAATATACATGTAGAAATAGGCAGCTATAAATATTGAAAACGGGTCTAACAAACAAACAATAGTTAACCTAATATTAAAAAATGACTGGGAATTAAAATATCAGAACAAAGAAACTATGATCATAAGAAAATAATACATTCAAATTAGTGTCTGACTACTAGTACAGATTAGTATATGGGAGGGTGTGATTCTGGCTGTCTTGGCTACTTGACACAATGGATGATACAAAGTTAAATGGTTGTGTTAATGACTCTGGAGTATGATGTTCAATATATATAATACTTGTGGGAGCACTGGACAAACACACCATAAGATATCTTCCAGAAATTATAGTGTTTAAAGGACATACTTTTGGACAGGTGTATCATGTCCATAATTAACCTGGGTGTTTGTAACTTTGACTGAAAGGATACTGTCCTGTACAAATGACAAGCTGTCTTAGAGATAAATTTCGATACTATTCCAGTTGCGTCCTATACAAAGCAATTTGCTCATAAGGTAGCAATTTGCCTTTGATACTGCTTTAATTACACTATCATAATATTTCATACATGAAGTATTCATCTACTTACTCGCGAATTGATACCATAATTTCTAAACCGTCCTAAGACATGATATCTGTCTCAGTGCGGTATTGATATCAGAGTTCGGAAGATTGGACAGAACAGTGGAAAAAGTCATAACATTATAAACAAGCAAGTAAAATCAGATTGCACGTCATACAATCTTGCCCTTCCTGTCTTCCTTACGCATTCGTGACAGGTGCATTACCCCAAGGACGAGTACAAACAGACGTCGGGCACTGTTTCCAAGGTTAGCTAGATAAAAGAAATAGAATTACGAGAGTCTTACCTTTCGTCGTCGTTAAATGGATAGTCCGCACCAAGCTGGTACGCCGCAGCGAAACCTGAGGTCAGCCCGACTGAAAAAAAATTACGATCAGGATTTTCAGACAAATTCGTGATGGAACAAAGGAACAAACCTTCGTGCACTTAATTCGTGAAACATGCGAGTAGTCAGGGCTCGATACATTTTAATCATAGTTCAAGGATGCTCACTATTAACCAATCCCCATCCTCCAGCATAGTGCGTATGGTTCTTCCCATTGATCATCCAAAGCCATGGTACCGTACCGAGATAATGCGTCCAGTTGTGGCCTTGTTGCTTCCACCATTTTTCCTTGATTACTTTACTTGGCTCAATGTCACTACGCGTCCATTCGTTCTGCATGTCTTTATTGAGAAAAATCGTCTGGTAAACGTGAGGATAGTCGTTTTGAGATGGGGGTGACGATAAAGCGGCTGAACCATCGTTTGCGGGATGCTGTCCGTTCGGTGGTATGCCCTAATGTGTCATAGTGGAAGAGGGATAAGTCAGCGCAGGATTAGCGAAAGCGAGCATCTCACTGACCTTGAACTGAGGTTGGTAATGTGTGAGGTCGAAACTCATTTCAATCTTCTTTGGGTCCTGATCGTACATGTGAATGAAGTACAAGGGACGAAAGCTCTTCTCTGCATATGCCATTGCTTCCTGCGTCGTTCCATCATTCTTCCGTGAACTTGACACGAGATCTTCCTTATAGTCGAGCTCATAATACTACCAAACGCTGTCAGATAAAGCAACAACATCAGCCAACGCAACACACCTTTGTCATGTACTCTCGGTCATAATGAGTGACACTGATATCGTAAAAATACTTCACGTTCCCAAGAATCTTCTTTTCCTTCCACGTCACCTCTTCCTCGAGCATTTTCAAGCAGCTGTCCGCATCAGCCGCGAAGATAAGTTCGTCAAAGCATTCGATATCGCTTTTCGTCCCATCTTCATCATCAGACGGCTTGTATCGAAGGATGACACGGCCCTTCTTGCGCTCAAGCACTTCAAGGACTTCTGTGCCGAGACAAATCCGTGCACCGCGTTCCTCGAGATGTTTTTTCCATGCCGCGTAGACGTCATTGAGGTTTGGGAATGCCAACATTGTTGGAATTTCTGCCAAGAGCGAATCGGGAGAGTATTCAAAGAGGCTCATACTCGGATCGAGAAAGAGGCGTTCAAGGATTGCAGAAGAGACGTGTGGAGTCTGGTTTCCCGTACCCTTTAGCATAATTCTAAATATATGGTTATTTTGCATAAAGGTGATCATAAACCATACCATAAACAGTGCGATAAGCGGGTAAATCAACCGATCGCCGAAATCCTTCGGGAATCTAAAGAGCTTAAGCATAGCTTGCACGCTCATCACCGCAAACAGAGGTTCTAGGCATTTAATGATCTTCAACACGCGGCCGAATTTCTTGATATCGTCGGCATGTTTTGCAACGAGTTCCGAGGGAAAAACGTTTGTCCAGAATTTCTCTTTACCCTTTCCGAAGGAAATTTGCATGCCGACTTCGCTGGACTTGAATCCGAGCTTCTCGAAAAACTTGAACGTATTGTAAAATTGAGGTGATCCCCCTTGGACCTACGCGAAGTCACAAAGAGATATAGCATTAGAAGATTGTATTAGACTAGGTCATGTTGCATACCCCATCATTAATGTAACTTGCACCGAACTTCCCCGCATCAATACTGCGAGTTTATATCAGCACAGTCGTGTGATATGCACTTACTTATCAGATAAGCTACTTACGGAATAGATGTAGCCATGCCTCCGCAAACATTTTGTTTGTCGAAAATCGTAACGTGAAATTTCTCTGGGTGGTTGGTCAGCGCAAACCCAGCTGCCATACCAGCGGATCCCTAAAAATTCAAAATGAAATGTGCTTATCCAGCTCATGCTTAACCGCAAGCAGTTCTAGATACTCACTGCTCCGACTATCGCAACTCTAATGGGTCTCTTCTGCTGCTGATCTTTCGTCATAGCGGAGAGGCTTCAAGGACACGGAGGTGGGTATAAGGTCGAGGGTTTCTCGTTGAGAGACGACATTTTATCTGCGCTATGTTCCTATGAACGTCAGCCCCGGCTCCTTTGGGACTCGTCTTTTCATCCGAGGCTCGATGATTGGACCAGTTAGCCGCTCCTCGTCTCGGTCGGAAATCGAAACGTTAACGATACGTCACGCGTCGGTCACGTGTTCGTGATTACCTAGTAAGTACTAATATTTTACTGTAAAGTAGCTCCTGAATCCTTATTCCGCACTCAAGAACGAGCGTCAAAGTGAAAATTGTGATCTAATAACGATAGGCTTCGTAGTACACAGGTGTCTTCAATATGCAGTTTACAATACGCGAAACAAGAACGCTGAGGAGCTTCGATAAAGTCGGACAGACTAGACATTATCAGATTCATTGCGCTGGTAACTTTTTCGGTACAGAAATACGACGTGATCACCTAAGGGAACGACAGTATGTACTTCTTCATTTCAATTTCCCAGCTGCAGTTTGGAAGAGAGTCCTTGCTGTCGCCTGGCTTTCCACCGCAAGCCTTGCTGAACAAGAAGTCAAACTGGCCGAGGATAGATTCAAGTGTTGGTGAACTCCGCGCTTGCAAATTTTGTTGCCTGAGCATGTCCCGCTTCCGACCAGCCCCGAAGAATCGCGGATGTAATCGCTTGCCATGCCAGTATGCAGAACGAGGTTCAATTACTGAGCCCATGCCGTGGGTGGCTACCAAGTCTCGTTTTCCAGATTTGCGAAGCTGCGCCTCTTTAATCATCGCCTCCACCTTTGTGTACGCGGGACTACCAGGACTGGCAATCTTCTCTAGTGTAGACTTCGTGTTATTGAACGCAATAAGGCGGAGCTTCGGGTAGAAATGGACAAGGCTTCCTGGCGTGCCGCATACGACAGGGCAATCTGGATTTGGGCAGCCTGGAGGATCTTGGCCGTCCTTTGAGAAACGCTGACATTTTCCGTGGAAGTAGGATGGGAAGATAGCTGTCTCGAGCTTCTCGTAAGAAATATCTGCGTAAGCTTTGAGGATAGGTTGCAGGAGCGACGTAGGGTCTGCAGGCCTTTGGGAGGGTGGCAGAAGCTGCTCGGATATTTGGTCGCTCTGTGTAACCATTCAGTACCAGTCGAGCAACACATATTGACATATCACAAACCAAGTCTTTAAGGACTTCATCGATCGGCTTGGAAAGGTTTCCTAGGAAGGCATTTGTGATCCTAACGATACAGTCTCCTTCACAAGCAGAGACGGAAGATACCAAACCAGTAAATAGAAGAATTAAGAGAACTGTAGAATACATAAGCCTGTCCAGCGGATGAATGACTGATATAAATAGCGCAGCTGTAGTATTAGATAGTGAAGAGGTGAGAAAGAGGCGAAGGTTAGGTCAATGGGTGGCATTTTGGAACACAACCTCTCGTCCGGAAACTGCCGGGTGGGCAAATCAACCAGAAGGTGATAAGCTCCCATCATGGGTCAAAGTTCTTTCTTCCTAATATCTTACGAAATGATCGGATTATCATCGTATGCCAAAAGATGGGGTGGACAGGGACTGTAAGAATCATTGGTATGGAATACCGAGAATTCACTTGAAGAAGTGGGTAGTAGTTTGTCCTTGTCGTTTGTCAGAAATCGTATTGAGGTACCGATTGAACCACATGTGTTGAATCAACTAGCGAAGTCTTGAATTGCCCTTCAAGATTCGAGGTGGGTGGCGGAAAGTGGACAAGTTGTGCAATCTATCGATTAGATTAGATGCCACAATTTCGGCCTTGACGCGAGACAGCAAATTTTCACCTTGTCCTTTTACCACCATGTCCTCCCCAAAGCAGCCAGTTTTTGTCGCTATCGTAGGGATAGGGCTTGTTGGCGCTGAGTTCGTTGATCAGCTACTTGCTCAGCCAAAGGAGCTGTTCCAAATAATATCACTATCGTCGTCTAAGGCAACGCTGTTTTCGGCCGATGGGCTCTCTATTGGTCCCTCTTCTTGGCGCGACGCATTCAAGCAGTCTGCCATTCCTGCCGTCTTATCCGCACTGACTGAAGAACTTCATGGATTGGTGAAGGCAGGCCGCAAAGTCGTGCTTGTAGACAATACTTCTGCGGAGAACGTTGCAAACCTATATCCGCACTTTCTTGCCGGAGGAGTGAACGTCATCACGCCAAATAAAAAAGCATTTTCTGCCAGTCAAGAACTCTTTGATGAAATTGTCAAAGCTGGCGGTCAGAGCGGAGCACGTTATTTAAACGAGGCGACTGTTGGTGCAGGTTTGCCCATCATCTCGACGCTGAAGGATCTGGTTGCAACAGGAGATACGGTAAGTCGGTTCTTATGTGGAGATTGCCATTCAGGTTGGGCGCGGTGCACTGGGCGCGTTTATCCCTATCTATCAAGCTTGCATCGGCAATCGATGAATCAACCGCGCCTTTGCAGTGCCTTGCTCAGCAACACCTTCCATCACCACGTTGAACTTGCTGAAAATGAATAATGTCGGAATCAGGTCACCAAGATCGAAGGCGTTCTGTCTGGGACAATGAGCTACATTTTCAACAATTTTTCCATTGCTGCAATTGGCGGGCCATCTTTTTCGTCCGTTGTAAAAGTCGCACGTGATAACGGATATACAGTGAGGATTCTCTTTTCCCGCTATTTTTTACTTGCAAAATTGAAGCTTCATATTCAGGAACCACATCCTGGAGATGATCTCAATGGCGCAGATGTGGCACGGAAGCTTACCATCCTCTCGCGGACAATACCTGCCTTACGAACTGCACTCCCCCTTGGATATAAGTCCGTGGATACTCGTAGCCTTGTACCCTCTGCACTAGATGGCCTAGCAACTGGCGACGATTTCATGTCGCGTCTGCCCGAGTTCGATGGAGAGTTTGAGGCACTCCGGGAAGAGGCGCAGAAGGAGGGTAAGGTGCTCCGATATGTTGGAGTAATTGATGTTGAGAAGCGCGTTATTAAAGCGTCTCTTGAAAAGTTCGCATTTCAATTCTAAATGTTAATTACTTCGGGCTTACCGCATCACTAGATACGAAAACACGCATGCATTTGCAACGTCACTCGGTGGTTCAGACAACATCATCATGTTCCACACGAGGCGATACGGTGCACGACCCTTGATCGTCCAAGGTGCTGGCGCTGGTGCCGCCGTTACCGCGATGGGTGTCCTCAGCGATCTATTAAAGCTCATCATCTGATAGGAGTATATACGTCATTGTGAATTAGACTTTATCTTGAATATCGACAAAGAAAGGATTATAAGGATGTTAGTAATTTTACCCAGTTGTGAACAGGAGGTGAGTTCCTATCCTATATCTACTTGCATCAATTAAAACATTCTTTCTTAGCATTCTTGCTCCACAGGGTCGTGCAAAACATGGAACGATGCCCCCTACTCTATACTAAAGAAAATTTGTGCCTTTAATGTCAGGGCAATCGAACAAAGTTTACATACTATTAACGTGGTCCCGGGAAGTAGATTAATGATCGTCAGCCTTCTCCGAGCACAGCAAGCGGGAACTGCCTAAATCCCGTGACCGAGGGTGGCCGTCATCATGCTCGACCGGAATGTGCTTCTGCAACTGATCTGCATTATTGACCGGATTCATTTTGCACGAAATCCTCTTCCCGCAAACATAGCCATTTTGACGTTTCCCCCGACCACCGTTACTTCTCAACATGCATTCACGGACAATATAATTCGTGGTGATGGATCCCGGCCACCCCCTATTCTGGTTATGTCCTAAACCTGCATAATCCTAAACCTGTATATTGGGAACGCGTCTCTCGCCTGGCTCGCATTGAAAAGCCACGTTGAGTAGTTATTTATGCAACCCGGTATCTTATGCAACCCGGTATCCGATGTTGTCCTGTCTCCGGGGCCAGTGTAACACATTCAAACTCTGTTATACATTAATATTCCTTGCACACGCAGCCAGCTCGGATCATAGACAGAACTGCCATCGACAGGATCCCATATAATGTTAAGGTACACGCTGCGTATATTGGTTATCCTTGGGAATCGGATCTGTACGTGTGCTCAATGGTTTAGCGCCAGCTTCGCTTAGTCAGTGCTTTATGCTAGTCAGATGATCTTCTCCATAATTGACGGCTTCTTTGCTTGCTTCGATCTGTTCCGCCTTACGCCTCGAGGTCTGCAAGTCTTCTGCGTCGTTGCATCCCAAAAGATTGGTCTGACCATCATGTACAATTTGTATCTGAGTCATTCTACGGCGAATGCAATGCCATTCAGGGTTTGCATTCGGCACAGCAGACCAGTGCTCAAGCGCTAGATTAATGATGCTCACATCGCTCAATGATTCATACGGAACTCTCTTCCGCTGATGAATCGTCCAAACGTTCTTGTCTTTACAAGTGAAAGCTAATACGTGAACACGAGTTCATGACCGGATTTGGCTACAATGTGACGCAGGACTTTTTGTTGTTCAACCGATGCAGTACCTCTGCCTCACTGACATTCAAATTATTCAGAAATGATCCTGAAGAAACCGGCGAATCTCATCACGGTCGTTCTCGATATCCTATGGGCTGGACGTCCCGCGATTTCCCGTTGGTGAGATCCTATTCACTTTTTTGTCGGACCTCTTTTGCTCCGCGATGTTTTCCGCGTATGACTGGTTGATGCTATGCTCATTCCGCCGGAAGAGGTAAGATACTTTGTAATAACTCTGCCATGCCCATAACCCGTGTCTACCATGCAGCTAATGAACGTCTATTTCTTCGCTATAAAGAAAGAAAGAAGCAAGCAGTGGAAGCTCGAGTTTTTTGAGCAACCTTCTTCATCTCGTTTTCTTCCTAAGGCATCACCACCATCATCCTCTTCGTACAATGCGGAAAGAAGTTTGCACTTTTTGCCGTGGGAGGAAAGTACGGGTAGGTCCAATAGTCTTTTCTTCGTGTATACGCGAGTTTACCCGTTGTTTGTCAGTGTGAGTTAGTTCTTGGGACTCTATACTGTCAGAATTGCGCAGATAGAGGTCTTGAGTGCAGTGGGCCTATGCCAACAGAGGCCCGGTTGAAGAAGAAACAAAAGAAGGCCACGCATGGAAGTAATGGTAAGTGGCTTGAATCGTCTATTCATCAACCGAAGTAGATCGTGGACTTACAGTTAAATTTGGTCAGAACCTGGTTGCCACCCGCCCAGTGGCCCCCGAGAAGATCGGGCACAGGCTCAGCCAACAGCTGAGCTCCAACCTCAGGCACCCTCTGAGATGCTTCCAGCTCTGGTAAGGAAAAGTTGCACTTTGTGTGTGATCCTCGATCCGACTTGCGATTTCCTTCAGGTGGCATCCGCATGGCCTTTTGATGCGCAGGTACCTTCCCTGGCGCCCCAAACTTCCACCGCTGAGGTTTATCAATTTGGTAATGTACTGAATGTCGAATCAACGACCCCGACTATGGACACTGGCCAACCGCAGGCACCTTTCTTCGTTCCGCCACCGTCGGAGTAAGTCATACGCCATCCTTCGGACTTTTGATCTCGTGGGCTTACATAAAACTAGCCCATTCATTCGACCTGCCAACATCCTGGTGTGTTTAATTTGTTTTATGAGACCCAAACTATCTTTTCTCATATCAACTATATGCAGGGCCAAGGGGCGACATCTCAAGACGCATATAATCTTCCCGATATGGCCGAATTCGAGTTATTGGCTGCGTTTGCAGCTCTCAATTACTAAGTACCTGTAAGACCATTTTCTTTGCTTGCAGACCGAGTATATACTTAAACAAGCAAAGGTGATTTGCCCTCAAGGTACCTCAAAATTTGACACGGCCATTCAACGTAGACCCGCCGTTGTCGCATACCCAAGTCGTGAATAAGTTTCAATGACTACAACATCTGGACCGAATTTTTCCTTTTTCCGTTTTCAGGACTTTTTCCCTCTAAGCGTAATAGAATGTTTAGATGCTTCTTATTTATTTCGCGCATCTGGTATTTGTTTCCTTGATCCTTTTCTCTGCTCGCATCACTTTTTGTCTGCTCCTTCTGTCTCCTACTTTTCTTTTAAAATGTCCAACACAACTTCATAATCTGTATGCCAAAGACAGCTTTCTTCTATCTAATTAAGTATACTTATAAAAACAATTCTTCTCGCCCAATTATGCCAAGTGCAGCCCTGTGAATGTGTTCTATTGATTCCTGCCCTTTGTCGAATTTGGATCTTCTGCCAAATTCTGTCATGGCAGTGCTGTATCCCGAATAGGCAATCGCCTCAAAAATGATTACTTGGGGATGATGTGATTTGTACGTGTTCTCAGCCCGCCCTGAGCACCGTTGAAAGTCAGCATCAAAGGGAGACAGAGTCACCTCAAAAATTAATGCTACTGTGAGGAAAGAAAGAGATTAAATTTTATTCCTTGATAGAAGAAGTCGCTACAGAGGAAAAGAATTTTATTTTGGTGCGTCACTGCTGAGTTACATTGCGAAGCCACCTTCGCGGCAATACGTGTATACGGGAATTGCTGCCATTTTCAAACTGCGTGTTGAGCACATGTTCCTCACCAAAGTACATGTGCAAGACTAGATGGTTGCTGCAGGCACAGTGCTGGTTTAGAAAGACGACAATTTCTTCACATTGTCGAAGTGCTCATCACCGTTCCTCGGCGGGGCTGTTGATACCTATATTTATTATTCGGCGACCAGTCTATAGAATTCGAGCACTCACTTCGAGACGTGGTCACCGGATTACATAAGCCCCGTAATCAAATATTACTGCGGCTTCGAAAAGCTACTTTCACTGCAGCGAGGCAGTCCTATGAAATGTTGGAACCTAAGGTGATGGACCAGAACCTGAGATAATTTGGGATGTCCGTAGTTATGCAACCATCATATCTACTATCTTAATCTTACAGGTCATCCAATGTGACCAGTAGTTACTAGTAATGTTGTGTTCATTGGTCACACTCTCAACGCGGATTTGTTGCCACCTCATAATATTTTCAATCGTGTTGTGCCAGAGTATTATACTGTACTCGAACTAACTGATTATAATCATTATACGAGATTCCGGACTTTTTTTTATGGATAAAGAAATAAAGTTAGAGTGTACGTACGTCGATCAGCGGAGATCCACGGTTAACGGATAAACCGTTGACCGTTGGCTGTGTATGGTATGGATCTTCACTCTCCTCTCCTAGCAACAGTGAAATTGTCTTTCGGTGGTCTCATATTAGTTCTTTCGCCGAAAGAAATGCTTAAACAATGCTTAGTACACACGCCTTCAACGTGTGATGCATAGCTTGAAATTTATATAAAGCCTAGCAGTCGCGAAGTACAAATCGCAGGGCTTTCTTTTTTTCGGTTCGACTCCGCTCGCTTCTCCCTAACTGATAGCAAGTACGTGCAAACCCGCCGGTTACATGCGTAAAGACGTATGCTCTCCTTGCCGAGAACGGAAAGTGAAAGCAAGCAGTGTCGTTATCCTGTGTATTCCACGATGCTCATCAACGCCTAGTGTGAACTGCTTTCGGAAACTGGACCTTGCAAAGGTTGCATTGATAGAGGGATAATATGCCCAGGACCTGTTCCCACCCAGGTGAAGAAGAAACGCCTGCAAGGTAATCGTCTTGTAATGATTGGTTTTATGCAAATTAAGCCATCCTGACCATAATTTGAACCTAGAATTTAGAAATGCTTTTGATATTCCATCCAATGAGCCCGCATCGTTTGTTATGAATGGATCGACTCAACAAGGCTTTCTTTCTCCATTTTGGCCAGTAAGTGCTGCTATTCAACTGTTACTGCTGTATTTTGGCTGAATCACATAGTCGCCTGCAATGCCGTTCATTCCAAATCCATGGTCAGAAGTACCGTCAGCCCCGGTGGTTCTTGATTATTATGCCAACAAAGCTTCACACACTCGGTCGCGTGGTCCCATGCAAGACCCGGCGTCTAGTCTTCTGCCGATGATCAATGGATTAGCTCCCAAACAAACCGCCCAGGGAGCGCCACAGCCGTATCCAGAATGGGGTTTGCTTTCGGGTAATCCAAGTGGTACATCCCTGTACTGCCCTGTAAATCATTCTGTGTGCCTTTAAACGTATGATGTACCTCATTCTTAATTTTTAGACTTGTGGGGCTCTGTTTGACACCTGTTCCTGATTCTTCATTTTGGATGACATGTAACTTTTATTTGAAGATATTTAATTGGCAAAGTCTTGTAAAGTATGGTGAGCAAACTGCCGCCTACAACACCAATTGACATACTGTTATTACTGACACAAAAGTACTCGGTTCAATTAGTTTCTTTAAAGTATACCCTGCAATGGATCTGGCGTATTCATTCGTTGTATTCCTGGATGAAGAATAATTCTGCTCTTGACCGAGTCCTTTTGTATTCTTTTTGTAGAATAGAGTTTCTTAACTTTCCTTCCCAGTTAGTACTTGGCTTTGCTTTACTTGCCACGCCCGCGAGCAGTACATTTCATTCTAGGTATAGAATGCCTCTTGATTTCCTTATTGAGTATCGCTTGATTCTCCCATGTTTGTTGTTATCCAAGTATAATGCTTTGCAATGACACATGCCACTTCACTTCGCCAACTCCAAGTGTAAGTGTAAATAAGATCGATTACGTAATTTTACCTGCATTCAAGAGTGGCATTCGACAGTGTAGCTGAAGTACCTTCCCCACTCAACTATGTAGATGTCTCTCCTGAGCATTTTTCTCTTAATCGATTCACTTTATGACATTCTCTAATTGAGTTGTATCCCGATAACTATGGAGAAAACTTGACTTAGGATGTACTCTCGGCTAAGTAAGTTGCGGAGTCACTAGCCTTCCCGGTGGACCATAACAATACTACTTTGATGATGTAGCGCAGCCAACCTTCATCTTCAAGAGCTCATTATCCAATCTTCAAAAGCTAATTCTCGATGCTGTCATTGTATGCCTATCTAATATTGCATTCCCGAAACACACGATTGATAGATCATACGTCTGTACATGCAGATTTATTGCACTTACGTCGTCTGGTATTGTTACTATGCTGTTGTTTTGTATACCTATTTGGGGCTGGTTTGCTCTTCTGAGTACGTGGTGTTATGCTTTAAGCCATGATTCTCTTCATCGAATTAAATTATCTTCTAGCATCGTGCATTGTCACCATCGTCGCACTAGCCAGCGCAGCGAGACATGCGTATAATACTATGTTCGCCGTACGGACTACTCGTTGGATCACCGCTATCTACCCAACGACATTAGCTACGAACTTATCTTCTTCCAGTCTGTCGCCGTTATTCCGCACTCCTTATGAGAGTATGCAAACTGAAGTGGCTTAATCAGGCCGTCTAGCGTACCGCATATGGCGAGTGAATTGCGACGTAGCAAAATACCGAGCGATAGGCAGCTCACGCCAGTTCTCCGCGCCATCATTGAATGATTTGAATCAGGTGCAATATACTCCGTAACTGTAACTGCGGCGCTGATACTATTCATTGTCAACTCACCAGGTATCTATGTGTTGTTGGACATGGTGAGCTGCCAGCCAAACAAATTCCTATAACTTAACTATAACCAAGCTTGCTCCGCAGGTCTCCCCAATAATTTCCATCGCTTCAACCTCCTTACCCTTCGTGTAGTGTTTGCTACCAACAGACGATTGCTGGTCCTCGGCAGAACACTGCAACAAACCACGACATTAACCACATCGCGATTCCGACCAAATATCAGACGGGATATGAAAACGTTAACTGTCGAGACCACTCAGTTCTTTGAGTCAGACGCCGAACTTCCTCTGTCATTGGTTACGACAGAGATGCTACCAACAAGGCCGAAGGGCGGGAAGAAGATGCAGGAAAGAATTGACGTTTCGACAGTCTTGGCCTTGCCTTTGTCCAGCTATTAATGAACAAGCCATGTACAAATGCATTTCTTTGTTGGGCGAATGGTTACCAAGTACAAATCTATGAAAATACATATATTGTACAACAAATGGAGTAGCAGCAACCTCTCAGGCTGGACAGCACAATTGCAAGGTATTATCACCACTATCTTCCAATTGTCAGTTAAGAGAGTCTTAAGTGTTTGTTCAGGCTGATCCCAATGTGCCTAACAATACCTGTCATATATATTTAAAGGCCAAAATCAGAAAACAAAACTCACAAAGTGGTTGGCTCCCTCCATCCTCACAACCGAGACAGGCCTCGTTGGCTTTCCTTTCTTCTTTGCCTCTTCAAGCTCATTCTGGAAAGCCCACGCTCCCCAAGGCATCTCCCATACAGAACTGTCGCACCAGATATACTTGAGCTGTATGCTATCCCAGTCTTTCGACTTCTCTTCCGTGAAAGGAGGATAGAGGGTAGCTTCTCGTAAAAAGTTGAATAAACCGTGTTGCACGCCGGCCTCCATGAGGGTTTTATCAGCGCCATCAGGGAATTCTGCATACACGTACATAGTCGATGCGAGATCATTTGGAGTCATTGTCTCGATTGTCGGACGAGGATTCGTCAAGGGCTTGCGAAGTTCGAGCTCGGAGACCGATTTACCGTGCGAATAATATCCAGAAACCCATGACAAGAAGAACTTACCACCTTCCCCGGGTGGCATAGATGGATCTTCCAGAGGGTGATAGACTTCCGCTGGTGGTGGGTAACCAAGACTATGATATGGCGGATCTGTGCGCGATGATAAAAATAAGTCGGCGCTGATTAAAGTTCATACGATTAATATGCGTACCGTAAAGGATAACACTTCGAATATACCGGGTCAGATCAACATCTCCAACTGGAAAGTTCCTAGCGTTCGCAAGGAACATAGTCATCGATGCACCGCCAAACGACCATCCTGCGAAAACAATTCCCGGTTTCTCGGGCACTTTCTCGGACTTAACAAATAGTGATAGAAAGTCGTACAGCTCCCGGGCGGATTGCTTTGCATACTCTTTCAGGATATCGATCGCCCCTGGTGTATCCGATTTGATGGTGCTGATCTGGTTGAGTTCTTCTCCGGGAAGCTCAGATTCGGGATAGTCACGCCTATTTACAAGAACAATGCGCGCGTTGTACTTTGGGGCGAGTGGCAGGAGACGAACAAATACGCCTGCAGCATGAGCTTCAGACTAATAACTATATTCAAGTGATGGAACTCCATACCAGAATGCCAGGCAAATCCATGAGTAAGAATCAATGTAGTGTAATCCCGGCTGCCATTCGGAATACCAGAATCATGGGCAGCAAGAAGTCCGTACCTTTTCATGGCTAGGTTGGTCATCTTGAGATATGGTAAAACGGAGGAGCTAGAGAAGAGATGCTGATGACTGAGACTGTCCGACCTTGCCAGTGGGCATCCATGTCTCCAGCGTGTATTTGAACAGTGTTGTGCATCGGAACAATCAAATGGAAATGCGAAGGAAAAATTTGTAAGCAAGCATGTCGGCTAGTTATAGTCAACTCTATATTGCTTATGTAGAATTATAAGGCTAAGTAGAGCAACCTTACTCTGTAATAAAGGCTCATAAAATGTTAAATAGCTACATTTTTAGACTCCTGAAGAACAAGATGTATTTCCTCAAGATAAAAAGAATATTTTCTCACTCTCACTCTGAGCCGATGCTTAACTGCATTTGATAATATAACTGCCATACATAGTAACTTAGCCGAGGTTCTAAAGAAAATTCCGCCGGGTTCGTTCCCTCCACGGGACGAACCCAATCGATCGGGACGAAAGCTAGCTACGTAAGTAGTTCCAGTTTGTTGAAACGTGAGTGCAAGGATTGCTATTATTTTCAAGTTGCGTGCTGAGCACATGTTACCCACCAGTGTGCACGCACAAGGCAAGCCAGTTGCCGCGTGTTCAGGACATGCCCAACATAGAAAGCTGTTAGCACCTTCAATCATCAAAGTGCTCTTCCTTGCCCCTTGGCAGTACCATTGGCACCTACATTTGGTGACTAATGTGTGGGTGGTAACTTGCCTTTGAAGTTGAGGCATGCGTTCGAGACCTGGTCGTCTGATTGTATTAAATTATTAATACCATATTCAAATGGTATCGCAGCTTCGAAAAGCTACTTTCACTGCGTTGGGGCAGTCCTATGAAAATGCTGAACCCTAAGAGGATGGTAGATCGAACTTCAAAAAATTTGCCTTCATACACATAGGCAGGTCTTTGCTGGGTCATCCTACTAATATATTGTATTAATAGTTATGCAACCATTGCATTGTTATAATACTGCATGTCATCCAATATTATTGTGCCCTTTAATCACAACCTCAGCATGGACTACATAGCTACCTTTAAGCAGTTGCTACTATGATATGCCCGAGCATCATACAATGCTCAAATTGAGTGAACACGCCACCATTATACAAGCCTCTTAAAGATTTTTCTGTGGAAGGAAGAAATAAAGTTAGAGTTTGTTTCCGTATACGACGTCGATCAACGGAGATCCACGGAAAACCAAAAAAGCAAAGCTCTCCTCTTTTAGCAACAGTGTTTTTCGGTGAACTCATTGAGTCTCATCAGTCCACCCGCCGAAAGAAATGCTTAAACAGTACCTACTATGCATGCCCACAACGTGTTACATATGACCTGAAAGTTTCTATAAAAGCCCAACTTACGCAGGCTGCAAATTATCGCATCTGTCTTTCAGTTCGGCTCTGCTCGCTTCGTCTGGTACGCAGGTGCATGCAAAAGCGTCAGTTACATGCGTAAAGACGTGTGTTCCCCTTGCCGCGAACGGAAAGTAAAAGTAAGTAACAGCGCCACCCTATACCCGTGCATTCCATGCCGCTCATCGAAGCCTAGTGTGAACTGCTTTCAGATACCGGACCTTGCAGGACCTGTATCGATAGAGGGATATCATGTGCCGGACCCGTTCCCACCCAAGTGAAGAAGAAACGTCTACAAGGTAATTGTCTCTTAGCAATTGATCTTGTGCAAACTGAATAGTCCTGACCTTTAAAAAACTTAGAATTTACAAGTACTTTCGATGTTCCCTTCAACGAGCCAGCATCGTTTGTTGTGGGGGGACAAATGCAAGAAGCATTTCCTTCTACGTCTTGGCCAGTGGGTACTGCTATCTCGCTGTCGCTACTTTTACTGAATGTCCTAGTTGCCTCCAATACTGTTCATTCCTAAGCCATGGGCAGAAGCACCGTCAGCTCCAGTGGTCCTTGACTATTACACCAATCAAGCTTCACACGCTTGGTCGCGTGGTCCCGATCAAGGTCTGGCGTCTAGTCTTCTGCCGATGATCGATGCATCGTCTTCCAAACAAGCCGACCAGCAGTCATTCCCAGAATGGGGTCTAATTTCAGACAATCCAACCATTACACCCCTGCTTTGTTCAGTAAGTCATTCTGTGTCTTTTTGGAAAATGTGAAGTGTCTCATACTTGACTACTAGAGGTGTGGAGCACCTTTTGGAAGTTCTTCCTGATTCTTTGCTTTGGGCAGCACACATCTATGTTTGAAGATATTTAATTGCCAAAAGTCTTGCAAAGCCTAGTGAGTGATTACTAGTCACAACACAAATCGATATACTGATACAAATGCATTCCGTTCAATTAGTTCTTTTAAAATATACTGCAATGGATCCAGCCTATTTGTTGTATCCCTGGATGACGAATGTCTCTGCTCTTGTGCTCTTCAACAAACTTTTTTTAATATTTCTATCTGGAATAGAGAGATTCCTTCCCCATTCACCACTTTGCATTACTTGCCCACACCCGCGAGCAGTATATTTCACTCTAGGTATAGATTACCTCTTGTTTGCCGGTCTACACTGTAATTTATTTGTCTATGTTTGTCGTTATCTTGAAATTGATATGAGACAAGACAACACTTGCGGTGTCGTGTACAAATAAGGCTGATTACGTAAATTTGCCCGAATTCAGGGGTGGCAAGCTGACAGAGAAGGTCACTTCACCATTCAACTACTTACTTTATACTTAGGTGTCACTCCTGACATCTCTAAATCAATTGCATTTCTCTTGAGTTGGTTTATTCCACCGATAACTGTGGAGAAAACCTGACTGTACTCTCGGCTTAGTTGGGAACCCAGGTCACCGGGAAGTCTTGTCCACATGACGAGCACACTCCTTAATTACCGTCCACCATCTTCACCCATTGTTACCATGGATTTCCTAAGTGGAAAAGCGCAGGAGAAGTGGAACGAGGTTCGAAATAAGTTTCATAAGCAACGGGATGACCGCAGCCACGGTCTGCCTGATATTGATGGTCCGATCACGGTTCAAGACGTATATAGGTACCGGAGGCAAAGAGGAGTAAATCTCGGTACGTGCTGACCTTATTATTGTTGTCAAAATCACAGAGAAAAAACTGAAGGCCTGCACAAATAGGTTCATGGTTCACACTGGAACGCTGGATTAGCGATGCTCCGTTCCGGTGCGCGCAACATCCGGCCGTTAGTGACTATGACGTAGCAAGGGGTACAAATGCGAAGGAAATCCTGGAGCACCACTGGGATACCTGGATTACAGAACCTGACTGGCTTTGGCTATCGGAGCATGGAATAAATACTGTCCGCATACCCGTAAGCAGGGGAAGAGTGATCCATAAGGAACCTGTTTTGACTAGTTCAGGTTGGATTCTACCACGTCTGCGGAGCCGAACGTTCCGTTCTTGAGGGGACGAGTTTTGCAGACCTGGAGAACGTATTCTCTGGTGCCTGGACTCGCATTCTCAACGCTATAGACTCAGCATCGAGACTCGGTATCGGCGTTTTGATAGGTCCGTTCGGACTCTTTGCTATCCTGCAACTGAACTTTGATGCATCCCTTGAAGATTTACATGCAGCGGCCGGTAAGCAGAACGCCGATGCACATAGCGGCCAAACTGGATCTGTACATTTCTTTGAGCGCAAAAATATGATACGGACACAACATGCACTGTGGGTCCTTGCAAGGGAATTGCATGAGAAGAATAATGTTGTCGGCATTCAGCTATTGAATGAGCCACAGGACCACCATGCGCTTGCAGAGTGGTATACTACTACGCTAGACGAGCTGCGACGAATTGCGCCAACGTTGCCTCTGTATATCCATGACGCTTGGGATACTGATAAATATGCTGCTTTCGCCGGAGCACGCGCTGAATCCGATTTTGTGGTAGTCGACCATCATTTATACCGCTGCTTTACGAGTTCCGATCAAGCACTATCTGGGGATGAACACGCAAACGTGTTACGTACACATATGGACGGCGAGCTCGCTGCGCGGGCCAGTGCATGTCGCGGAAATATCGTCATCGCCGAGTTCAGCGCTGCACTCAACCCGGCGTCGCTGCGTTCGGACGAGGCGGGCGAACAGGACCGACAGCGGCGCGTTTTTGCCCGTGCGGAACTTGGCATCTTTGAGCGACATTGCGCCGGCTGGTACTTCTGGACGTACAAGAAGGATAGCTGGGACGCCGGATGGTCCCTGCGCGACACCATTGTTGCGGAGATTATGCCATCATGGTTTGGAATTCGGAAGGTATCGGGCGCAGAGATCGCCGACGATCCGGCGGGAAGAGATATGGCCAAGGAGAAGGCGCTGCACGAACACACGGCTTATTGGGACCAGTACCAAGGTCACTATGAACACTGGCGTTTTGAGGAAGGCTTCACTAGAGGATGGGATGACGCATATGAATTCTTCTCTTTTGATCTAGGCTCGTCCATATCAGAACTGGGGTTCAAGGGCCAATGGGCAAAGAGAAGGGCTTTCACACATGCCAAAGAGAAGGGACACAGTGGAAATATATGGGAATTTGGTACGTCACCTATGACTCAAGGATAAGCATGCTTTCTCAACCAAGATTAGAGCACGGTTTATCTCAAGGTATTGACGCTGCAAGGAAGGCCTTAGAAGAGATCTACTAACGGATTGTGGTAAACTGCCACGTCTTCATTCCTAACCATATACGTAGTCACACAAATGTATGCGTCACAAATCGATGGAGCGTGGCTCCGTACACTGCTCGCGAGAAATCGGACTCCCATGTTCTACTCACCACCGAATGCGTATTCTTGGCAGCTGAAAGTTTACTTTCAAACATCCGAGGTTTCGACGTCCATTTGATTTTCGGTCTAAAGCTAACGTGAACCGATAGGCGATGATATCGCGCCGCAATCGCATCTTGCGCTGGCGGCCAACCAATTTCAACTTTCTAACATGTTATCAACTACTCGAGCTCGTCTTTTGCTCAGGATAAGCACAGGGTTTGTTCGGAAGTGGCTTCCCAGCAGAGTTTCGCGTGAGCAAGTCAAAATTGGTTATTTCGATCAAGAAAGAATCGGAATCTTGGCTATTTTTATGCTTCGCATTCTCCTTGATCTTCTAGACCATTTGATTCTTTCAAGAAATTCTTTCGCGCGTACCAGCCTCCGTCGAGGAAGGAACTTTGAAAATGAAATCCGACCTTGTAGATCAAAACTTCCATGTGTTGGCGGAGGCTTTTGCAACTGGAGCACAATCGCGCGCTTTGGAAAAGCCTTCTACCCGGATAGTCGCGGGACCCCACGGTGCTCTCTGATCTGCTTCAGTTTTCTCTCACGGCATCATATACGGTCAGATGACTGATTTATTTTCGGACAATGGTGCATTTTGGCCTGTTCTTGAGCATCGGAACGCGTCTATTGAATGGAGAAAAAGAGCCCGGTAGGAGGAACGTCGGGGGATCCGTCCCTGCTGGAAGCGGCTAGGGCAATTGGGAATCCGTCTTTTATTAGACCGGTAGCCTGACCCCTAGCCGCTGAATGGCATGATCAAAAGGCTTATAAGGAGTGCGACCGCCTTGGCAGCACTTGCTCCTTGCCTCCACTTTGAGCAATCTACCTTGCTAACTGTCACCAAACATGGCCGGACCTGCTGCGGTGGATAACTCAGCTGTCGGGTATGCGCACCTCCTGGACCCGAACAGGAAATGGTACAACAACTGGCGGTACGCATATAGTTCTTCCGCTGTCACCGAGAATTCGGCAGTAGTTGCTAACTTTGGACTTTTATTTTATTCTTCAGAATCATCGCGCTTAATGGTTGGATTGTCCTCTTGTACGTTACCTGAACCCCCCCCCCCCCCTTTAGTCTCCGAAAATCATTGTCTATTCGTTTTCTTCTTTATTCGCGAAGTTTTGAGCTTATTTTCTGACTTTTCGCTTCTATGCAGCCTCATCACGTCGTCGACAAATGGATTCGATGGGAGTATGATGAATGGGCTGCAATCATTGAGTCAATGGCAAGATGCATTCAACCATCCTTCCAACGGTCTGCTGGGACTTCTCAATGCAATCCAGGTGGTCTTTGCTGCTGATTTACCATGTCTACTCTGATTGATTCCCTTCATTCCTCTTCATGCAGAATATCGGATCCCTTGCTGCATATCCCTTTGCACCTTACGCATCTGATTATATGGGCAGGCGTCCGACTGTTTTTCTTGGCGCTTGCATTATGGTTGGCGCAACGGCGATTCAGACGGCTTCTCAGTCTGTCAATATGTTCATTGGTGCTCGGTAGGTCCTTGAATGGATCTGAGGACACATGTTTCTTTGCTTATTTCTCATGTCGTAGCTTCTTGATCGGATTTGGCCTTAGTTTTGCGGCTAATTCTGCCCCGATGCTTGTTTCCGAGATTTCCTATCCGCCTTACCGTGCTTCCCTAACGTCGCTTTACAACTCCTTATGGTATTCCGGTTCAATCATGTAGGTTTTCCTGTGGTCTGCGACATGCATTAGCTTACTGACTGAAATTGCAGAGCCGCGTGGACAACCTTTGGCAGTTTTAAAATCCCCAAGTATGTTCCATGCCTTGCACTTTAACTCATGGATTGATTTCCTTTCGAAGCTCCTGGGCCTGGCGTACTCCCTCTCTACTTCAGGGACTCCCAGCCGTCCTGCAAGTATGCTTGGTTTGGTTCGCACCAGAATCTCCCAGATGGCTTATGAGCAAGGGTCGTGAGGCTCAGGCTCTGCACACCCTGGCTTACTACCATGCTGACGGAAACGAGTGGGTCTGGCCTGGATTTCGCGAATGACCAAATTTATTTATATCAAATTGTAACGTAGATCTGACCCACTCGTGCAATACGAGTTCGAAGAGATCAAAGCCGCCCTCGAATTCGACAGGACTGTCGCCGCGAACGTCGGTTGGAAGTCCTTCATCACTTCACCGGGAAACCGCAAACGCCTACGCATCATCGTTGCGATCGCGTTCTTCTCGCAATGGTCGGGCAACGGGCTTGTTTCATACTACCTCAATAAGGTCTTCGACGCTATCGGAATTACCGACCCGACCACTCAATTACTCATCAATGGTATCTTGCAAATTTGGAACCTGGCCGTGGCAGTGACAGCATCGTTCCTTGCTGAGCGCTTAGGTAGACGGGTGCTGTTCATGACTTCGTGCATTGGTATGGTGGTATTTTGGACCGGGCAGACTATCTGCTTTAAACTATCCAACGACGGGAATACAGCGGCTGCTCATGGCACGATAGTGTTTATATTCCTATTCTACATGGCATATGAGTATGTGGCCTTCATATTTCTTCATCGTAAACAACGACTTACGGAATCCCAAAGCATTGCCTTCACCCCTCTAATCGTATCTTACACGGTCGAGATCTTACCGTATCATCTTCGTGCAAAAGGATTTAATATCTTCAACTTCACAATCTCCCTCGCCCTTATTTTCAACCAATACGTCAATCCGATCGCCCTCGGCAAGCTGTCGTGGCGTTACTATGTAGGCTTCACTCCTTATGAATGACTACTGCCATATGCTAATTTTCTCCTTGATTAGATCGTATACGCATGCTGGCTTCTCTTCGAGACCGCGTTCTGTTACGTCTACATCATTGAGACGAAGGGACGCACGCTCGAGGAAACCGCAGCGTTGTTCGACGGCGTGAATGCCGCGGAGTTCGTCTCGGGCCCTGTTGTACACGGCGAGAAAGAAAGTACTGAGGGGAGTGAGAAAGCAGAGTCTGGTATCCATGTGGAGAGACTCGCATAATGGCCATCACGAGTTCCTATTCCGCTCTTATGTCTCTTTGACGACTGACATGTTACGCGAGACATGTTTGTTTTTGTGTATTCTTTTGATGCTCGTTAATTTAGTCTATACTCGACGACCCCTCCGTTTCTACTTTTACTATCTTGAGAACTTTTCAGGCTCATCGGTCACATCGGCTGGATATCTCTGATGATATATTGAAGATAGTCGTGGTGCGAAGTACATGTACGATAATTTACAATTGAACGGTCCGACGGGCCATTACTCCACTGTGTCGTTGCAAATTGCAGTTATTAAAGTGATCTAATAAATCAAAATCCTACGAAGAGCTTACTCCACCTATCCTCGAGGAAGATTAATGTGCGTCTTTCCGTGTAAGTATTTTTTTGTGTATGTTGTATACGCAGCCTAGAACGTCCACCGTTGTATCATATATGTGCGTATGTATGGTACTCAATGCTCATGGGAGACAACTTACGTAATCTGACCATGAACCAAAGTCGATGTGGATATCTGATACAGGGTGTTTGGATTCCCTCTCTTGTTACATCCACATAACACAGGAACACAACGTAAGGAATCTAAGGATAGCGTTTTGAACAGTATGCACATCAATTTTAATTCGATCAGTGGCGGTGTGTGGCATCAAATGTATCATTGCTTGGCTTTATTTACTTATATGCTATGCTTCTTTTCTTTTTCTGCACCACCATTACATAAGGTGTCCCGTGTCGGAAGCTGTCTCCTAAGTCCTTCGTTTCGTTTCTTCACCGAGCCATGGCCTCGAGCGGTGCGATTATTTTTCGTACAATGTGATCTCCTCTATTGAACACATTTTTCTCCTCTGTTCTTCATACAGATTTATCCAGACTTACTTTGTCTTGAAATTCGCCGGATTTTCCTCCAGGATGTGGTCTTCTCTGGATGTCATCCCTGTGGAGGATAAACCACAATCATTCCGCACCCCTTTCTGGCTTGTTCTGTATCATGACTGCGAAGAGAAGCTAAATTTAAGGGCTTTTGAAAGTTGCTGGACGAATCGAAGACTTTCGTAAATCACATGCCGAATCGAAGCTGCTTTCTCAGGTCCATTGAAATGCGAAATACGAAATATCGAGGGCAGGAAACTTGGACGTGCATATGGCTGTATCTCCATTTAGTATTCTATTCCTTGAGGGGGGCTGTGAAGACGTATTCATATTCTACGGCGATTTGGCTTTTGGTATAAGACTAACCGTGTATTTCAGGGGGAGAACAGAATTTATAGGAATTACTATGTATCCTGCCCAAATTCCCGGAATTTGCTATAACTACTTGCTCTGTCATCAGACTCACAGAGTGCCTGCTAAAGGTACTATCCGCCACGCTTCACCGCGTTTCTTACATCCCTATCACCTTCATACATCTTCTGCTCCTGGTTTCCCCCACCTCTGCACGAAGCTCATATGGACCCTACATCTGCCAAATTAATTACGACGCGATGAAAGCGGACTTAAGATCTGCCTGTCTATCACTGTCTGGAGGCAGGGAAGACGATAATCATTAAATGTTTGCCTTCATAAATAATCAACGATCGCCATGCCGAAGCAACGTGCTTGCCGCCCTACTTAACTCCCTCGTCCCTGTCAAGAGGCGCGCTTCGAGGCAGCAGCCAGCCCTACACCACTTCCTGCGTTCTCCCGCCGCACCCGCGAGGGTGAATGAGGTGGAAGGGCATCTCGTGAGTTCGATCTGTCTTAATGAAGATTTACTCAACTCTTATGGACAGCATAGGACCTTGTGGTTGTCTTGGCTTGTCCCATCCAACAACTCTGTCCATGAACGCCAGCTCTGCCGCCGTAGGCCTGATACACGCATCTGTCGGATAAGGAAGAAAGGAGAAAGTGGACGCCTGTCTTGTCCCATTCTGGCTAAAGCTTGCCTTGCTATTTAGCGACGTAACTCGATTCGCGGCGACCGAAAACTGTAGAGAGACAGCAGGGACGCAAGTCACTATACCCATTATATGTTGCCATTCAGATCCATTTATGCGGTTCTCCGAACTAAAAAATTTTCCGTCCTGCAATGTTCCACGGACGACGGACGAAGGGTAAAACAGATACCGGTGAGCGTCCACATGAAACTGAATCTACTATACGTACCTACAGTGCGCGTCAAAAGTATTGCAACACACCACGTGTTTTTCATTTTGCCTCTACACGTCATTCCACACAACACTTATGCCCATATAAATTACATGTAAATTAAGTGTGATATACTGCGAATATATGTATGTAAAAAAGACTGCAAAATGTGCAGTAATTATACAAGACGGACGGATCTAAAAAAAACATGCTGTTGCATTACATATGCGCGCAGCACATACACTTTAAAAAGGCTGCCCCAGTGCTCATTATTTCGACACCTGTGCCTCCTTTTGCACCCTGGGCTTTAGTATTACCTCTATTCTACTCTATGCACTACACTACACCCACTCGTAAAGCGCGTCTATTGGACTACAAGCATGCTGGCATGTCTCACTCTGAGTGTGCCAAAAGGCTTGGCCTTTCTCGTTCTACCGTCTCCCGATTGCACCGCAAGCTCCTCCTTACTGGTGATCCGTACTTTGTTATGCCCAAGCCAGGTCGTCCCACCAAGCTTTCGTCGCCCGACCGTCGTTCCACTGCTA